AAGTGATTCCTCGATCCGATAATAGACCATACCAAAAGCAATATACTATGAAACCAGAAGCAATAAAAGGGATAACACCTACATTTGAGCATTTACTTAAGGGAGAGGTGATAATTCCTGGAGATGTGGTACAATGAAACTCTCCAATATTTCCTGTTAGAAAGGAGGCACCTAGCGCCGACTGGAGGATGGTCATGGACTTACAGTTAGTTTAATATAAATATCATTCCCAGAGTTCCATGTGTACAAAATCCACATACATTGATGAACCAATTGAAACCAGAGAACTCCTATTTTACAGTGATAGATTTAGCTAATGCTTTCTTTAGCATCCAAGTTCATCCGGATAGTTAGGGGTGGTTTGGCTTTACTTTTCAGGGAAGGAAATGGACTTAGGCTAGGATGCCTCAAGGCTACTCAGAAAGTCTTACAATCTTTGCCCAGGCTATAACTAATCATTTGGGAAAGTTTGAACCTAGGGAAGGAAACAAATGTTAGTTTATGTAGATTATATTCTATTGGCTAATCCCACTCAGGAGGGATCTAAGAGGGATACAATCCAATTGTTAACCTTCCTGGAAGAACAGGGACACAAAGTGAGCAGAAAGAAACTTAAACTTTGGTAGATCGAGGTCATTTACCTAGGACACACTATAACACAGGAGGGGAGAATGTTAAACTCATCCATAAAAACTGCTATATTTGGAGCGCCAAAACCGTTAAAACAAAAAACAAATGATGAGCTTATTGGTAATGATAAAGTGCTGTAAAGTTTGCGTACTCCATTATGTACTGCATACGGGTAAATTAAGTGATCTTATCTATGGGAAGGCAATGGTAGCCCATGGTAAAGTAATTTGGAACTCTAAGGAGGCATACATACATCAGGGATGTTATCCAAATGGTAGAGAGTAACGAGGGATATGACATTGGTAGTGATTTAAAGATGATGAGGTTTTTTGGTGGGCTATTAGATATAACTGGGTTAATCATGAACATAGAGATTTTTATTCTTTGTTGCTAGACAGAAGATTTAGGTGACTTAAGAAATAGACTTGTCATGTCCAACAATTAGTCTTCAGGTCAAGCCCGGGAGAGCCTGGGTAGAACAGAGTTTGAACTAAACATAAGTGTTTTTATAAGATAAGAGATTGATTGATTGGATTACTAATTGATTCTGAACTGGATGAAAGTTGAATTTAGCTTCCATAAAAGACAAAGGAAGTGGGAGGAGCAATAAAGGAGCAAAAGATAATCTAAAAAATGAAAGGCATGGCAATAGGATGATAAATTACATAAGAAATGGTTTAGAAAGGTGGTAATATTGACACATGGGCAAATCATGTGTCAAAAAGGGGGAATGATAGGATTAAATAATAGTGATAGGATTAAATAATAGTGATAGGATTAAATAATAGTGATAGGATTAAATAATAGTGATAGGATTAAATAATAATGATAGGATTAAATAAAAATGATAGGATTAAATAAAAAGAAAAAACAACAATAGAAATTGAGAGCTCAACATGTATGTGTGAAGATAGTTTATTAACCACACCCGTATGTCAGAGGTTTTGTGCCCCACAGGTGAACTAAAGGAGAAGGTGACCCACTCTATCACACCAGGAGACTGGGTGTGGATCCAGTCCCTAAAAAGAAGAAAAACTGGAAGCAGGCCTGTTGGGAAGGGCCCTATCAAGTCCTATTAGATCAATCTGGGTGCATGTCACACACTGCAAAAAGGTAAACCCAGTTACACCTGATGAACAAACACAGAGTTAGGAGAAAGATCCGATCACCACTATGGTTCGGGGGTTGCCTCCTTAACGAAGATTCCCTTACCCTGTCTGATCATCCCTGTGTGAGTTTGGTAGAAGGTAAAGTAATGGGTTGGCGTCTGACATGTTCTCAGGGCAAGGGTGGGGATTCACAGGTCTCCTGACGGTAGGTAGCTGTCTGATTGTGGGGGCCATAGTCCTAGCACACACGGACCCTCCTGTTTCAGCCAAAAGTAGTAGTTAACCTAAAACAAGTTGATAAAATAATACCTGAGCACAGTCTATGAAGGCATGGGAGACAGCTAGACGTAGGGAAAGGAGAAGATTAGGGACTTTAGGGGAGGACATCACTATATGTGTGTCGCCGTGTACATCCTGGGACTATGTAGTTGCTCATATCGAGAGCGTGGGGGATATGTAAATCTCCATACACAGTTTGGGGACAGGTGGAGACAGGGTGTAGGAATCTTGACCGGTGGTTGGAATGGATTTAGTATACGGCAAGAACTATGTCTAAAGAGGACTGTTGAAAGACTGGTGAAAGAGTCTTGTAGTAACTTGAACTATCTGTGTCCCCCGATAACAAAGTCATTCCGACCTAGGTTGCCTACGTTTGAAGTCTCAGGGGATTCTAATTGTTTTTCTAGGACTAGTAAGATAGGATACAGAGTAGGGCATCTTAGCTCTGCTCCTACACAGAGAATATCACAACTGAAAGAAAACATGACTAATCTCTTATTTGTTGCAGCTAGAGGATTGTAGGAACTAAAACAAGGCCTGTGCTGACATCTGATGGTTGTGTGGTGATAACTGATTGTGAACTCAACTACATATGTAAACAATCAAATGTGTCAGAGACTGGTGAGTTGTCAAATAGAAAGTGGGACCTCCTCCTAGGATCCTTTGATGAAAGGATCCTGTGATGGGATAGGAGTACCTCGAGAGGTTCCAGAACAATTCAAAGCTAGGAATCAGACCACAGTTGAGTTTGAATCAAGTATTTTTTGTTGGTCAACAATTAATAAAAACTTAGATTGGATAAATTATATTTACTATAACCAGCAAAGATTTATAAACCACACTTGTGATGCAATAAAGGGATTAGATGAGAGGACAGCGGCAACTATCTTAATGACAAAGCAGAATAGAATAGCGTTGGATATGCTTTTGGCTGAGAGGGGCGGAGTTTGTGTTCTGTTTGGATCTATGTGCTGTATTTTCATCCTCAAACAATATAGCACCGGACGGGTCAGTGACAAAAGAGCTTCAGGGGAGTAACTACACTGACGAACAAACTGGCTGAGAGATCTGATATTGATAGCTCCATAAACGGTTGGTTTGATAACATATTTGGTAAATGGAAAACTATTGTTGTAACTATTCTGGGTGAAGTTATAGCTTCTATGGGTATACTTGTTCTTTGTGGATGTTGTCTTATTTCCTGTGTCTGAGGTTTGGTGAGAAAGGAGATGGAGAAGGTGATTTCCCACAGATGGTGAGATAAGGCCCAATCCTGGACTCCAACCTAGGAATGGAGGATATGACCTACCAGGCTTGGTGGAGTGACACTAGAGGGTGTCTAAAGGGGGCCAAAATATACTTCTCTGTTTGTGTTTTATGTTTTAATAGTCTTATGTTTTGTGTTTTATTAATCCTGTGTTTTATGGTTTGAAGTTCCTTGGTGACTGGTAACAATTTGCAAGTGGGGTGTAGATGAACTGAGGGTTTGCATTTTTAGTAACATTATGGCCTATTAATAAAAGTGTGATTTTTTGTTTGTTTTGTATTATAATGAATGAAGATCTGTGTTTTCTTATTTTTGAATCACACCTTATGTGGTGTGAAAAGGGGGACTATTAGGGATTTATTATTCTTCTAAACTGATAGGATGACTAACTTAGAAAGAATGCATTCTTGACTGGGCTAATGTAGGCTGTGACACCTGGCAAGGCTGTGATTGATGTGAAGAGAAGATAAGGATTGTGTCTTCAAATACAAGACTATAATGGTTCATTGTGATCTATGAGTCTTCCTTTGACATGGGAATGATGTCTAAGGGAGCTGGCTCTTCTCACTATGACAGGTTGTTATGATAATCTTGTGCCTGCTTGGAGTGTGTAACAAAGGGCGCCAAAGAGATGAGACCAACCCCCTGCATCAACGTATTGGCTGAGAAAGTTTAAACTGCTCAAGTCTTTACTCTAATTGGCCAGCAGAGAAGTGGGAAACTTCCTCTGTCAGAGTATTTGGGTATTGTTTCTAGAGCAATGAGTTAGTTCTCTGGAATGTCCTGCGAGGCATATCAGAGAGCCCGTATATACGAAACATCATATTTACCATTGAAGGTTTTTGCATTAATTAAAATAACTAGTATACCTTAGAAGTCGTGTTGACCTCTTTTGTTCCTGATACCAGATTTGAATTGACGCGACTTTGACAATATATATATATATATATATATTAGATGACTAATGTTACTGTCCCCACTACAACATAAACATACTTAAATACATGTAATTTTGTCCTTGAAACATTTAATTGAAATACTGTAGAATTCCATTGGAGGACTGCTCATACTGGGGAGTACCAATTATGGCCGACCGGTGGCTCTCAATGGCCAACACATTGCATCAGCAAGCCATTATACAGTAGTACATCGTTGGCCGTGACGGCGACTTTAGCCAGCTAGCTCGCAAGCAAGTATGATTCATACCGCGTTTAGATCCTAGTCGGAACAAGGAAACTCCGACTTTAAGGCCGGCACGTGTATAACTACAACCAGTTAGCATGTCGGAAAAGTCCGAGTTTCCTAGTTCCGACCAGCTTGTGAACGCGGCATCAGTCGGGGGTTGTTTTGGTGTGGAGAGGTTGTTGTACGTTACTCACTAGAGAGTTTGACACATTGACAGAGGTAAACAGCCTGTACATTTTCTATCGACAATTCAAGTCACTGTAATTTTTTGACGTCTACATTCACGAACACTGGCAGTGCGAGCGCATTTCATAAAGCCTGCGAGTCAAATGTCATAAAGTGAGATAACTATTGTAGCTAACTCTGAATGGATAATGTATTAATCGATGCTCTGCTCTGTCACTCCACTAAGGGGTTTTTCGTTGCGTCGGGAACAGGAACTCCCAATTCTGCTTTCTCTTTTAGGCAGAGAACAAGCCTTTTAAAGAGCACCTTTTTGTAGGCTCACAATAATTATGGAGCAGCACCACATGGGCTGTGTGAACCTTTGTTGTCTCACGAACACTCTACCGGTGATCCCCTATCAAAAGCTGACGAACTTGCATTACCTGAGCAAAGGTGGGTTCGGAACCGTGTTCATGGCACAGCATTCCGATTGGCAGACGACCGTTGCCATCAAGTGCCTGAAATTGGATTCTCCTGTTGGCGAAAGGTATTTTTGTTAAAATCATTCTACCAGATTAAGTAGGACTATGCCATTAGATCTCATCTGACTAGAATCAGTCATTGCCTACTCAAATTAGATTTTAATTTTGATCTCATGTATCCAGAGGCCCCTGTGATTTCCTTACAGAATGCTGCTGCTGTCTAAATTTAGGACTGACAATGACACTATGTCAACTATCAGTAACAGCAACAGTGGTAGAAACCTTGATTTCTTCTCATGCATGCTAGAGGTGAAGTAGGCTAGATATTACAAGCCTCTTGGCTATGTGCCCCTATGAATGGGAGACAGTGAAATAAATGTATTTTCTATCACTCAAATGTGCTTTCTCTATACACACGAGGAAGCAATATGAATGTCAATCCTTGTGACACCATGACAGTAATGTCAAAAGGTTATCTAATCATGACTGTGTTCGCAGGGAGAGGAATTGCCTGCTGAAGGAGGCGGAGGTGCTCCACAAGGCCAGGTTCAACTACATCATCCAGATCTTTGGCGTGTGTAATGAGGCCGAGTTCTTCTGCATCGTCACCGAGTACATGAGCAATGGCTCTCTGGATCAGCTGCTTCACGAGGTAGGCCTACATACACTTAGTAAGAACAGTGTACATGTATAAACAAGGGAGTCGGGACTGAGTCACAAGACTCTTGCCATATCAGTCTAGGGGGTTACATTTTTTCTCCAACTGTTTCAAACAGTTATAGTCTGAGTTCCACACTATTTTCAATGAAGAAGCAGCCACTGACAATTCAGGCTTTGGTATCAGATTACTGCTATGCTGTTACTATGACAGGAAATGCAAGTGCTGCAATGTTGGTACAATGCTAGCCATGTAAACACGAACCTCAGCAGCAGCGCTAAAGCTCATCTGAGGTCGTGCATAGCCAGCTGTCTAGCCGTAATCAGGATATTTTTGACTAACCTTTACTTGACGATACTTTCTTTGTTCTCAATACAGAATCATTATTAAATTATAAACGGCTGTGGGACTCCAAAAACCTGCCAGTATTGTATATTATAAACTGGGTGGTTCGAGCCCTGAATGCTGATTGGCTGACAGCCGTGGTATATCAGACCGTAAACCACGGGTATGACAAAACATTAATTTTTACTGCTCTAATTACGTTGGTAACCCGTTTATAATAGCAATAAGGCACCTCAGGGGTTTGTGGTATATTGCCAAGGGCTAAGGGCTGTATCCAGGCACTCTGCGTTGTGGTGCATAAGAACAGCCCTTAGCCGTGGTATATTGGCCATTTAACACACCCCCTCGTACCTTATTGCTTAATAATATTGAATATTGTGTGAGAAATTCCTCTTACATGTGTGTAGATCTTTGTTTTGGTCGCACTGTGTGACACGCGAGAAGAAACTGATGTCTGTTCGCGTGGCGTAGCGTTTGTCCGGAGCAAGGACTCTGTGGAGCCAGGCAAGACACCGATAGCACTGACATTGTCTCTCTCACGCACCAGTTGATAAGACACCATATTATCCATAACAAGACAGGGCAGGCGTGTTAGTAGCTAGATGATGAAACCAATGATCCAGGGTTGAAATGTTGGCTGTAGGTTTCGGAACACAACACATCTGGGAAATCGCCACAATACTGCTTCACTTTCTCTTCCTCCCCGTTTGATCCACTCTCCGATCTGTATACACGATATCTTTTTCACTCTTTCCCCTTCTCTCCTCCCACACTCTGTAGAATAACCTTTACCCACTGCTGGCCTGGTCGTTGAGGCTGCGTGTCCTGTACGAGATAGCTCTGGGGGTCAACTTCCTACACAACATGACCCCACCCCTCCTGCACCACGACCTCAAGACACAGAACATTCTGCTGGACGGAGAGTTTCATGTCAAGGTGTGTCCGTGCGTGTGTCAACCTCAGTCGCACTAAGCTTGGACTCACATTATAAAGTCCTCTGAATCCCTGTTTGCAAAGGCAATATGTTACATTTATATTAGATTTAGTATGACAGTTTAGTCTTCACGGTTCCAATTAAACTGTTTGGGCCCACTTTAAAAAGTGGTCAGGAGAGAGGGTTAGAATATGAATCAGCACTCCATTATCCAAAGCAACCCTCCTGCATGAACCACATTTGATTTGAATCTATCCCTATTAGGCAACTAGTATGAAAATGTGGCTTTTAACGTCTTTTAACTTGGCCCAGATTTAATTTGGTTGTGTTTAAACTCCACTTTCCAATGTCACTGAGAAATAGCCTAGGCCAGGGGTCTCCAACAGGTCGATCGTGAGCTACCAGTAGTTCGCATCCCACTTATGAGTAGCTTGCCAAGCAATTCTGAAAGTGAATGTATTTTTCACATGTTCCACTGTAACTGTCGTATTAATAATAATAATATAATAATATGCCATTTAGCAGACGCTTTTATCCAAAGCGACTTACAGTCATGCGTGCATACATTTTTTTTTGTGTATGGGTGGTCCCGGGGATCGAACCCACTACCTTGGCGTTACAAGCGCCGTGCTCTACCAGCTGAGCTACAGAGGACCACATCAGACACCGCAAGCTCCCGGCTACTATTCAATCAAATCCACATTGACATTGTTGCACCCCTAGTTAGCCACAATTGGCTTAAAAGGTCAAACGTAACACAATATCTGACAATTCATTTCTAGCAATATTGCCCCTGTAAGTCTGTGTTGTGCGCGCGTTTGTCTATCATTCACTTTGTGTAGCCAGTTAGCGATAATGATAACTGTCTTCTGGGTAGACAGAAAGACTTTCCCTCCTCAATTAAATGTTAACTGCAAAGTAGGCTTACCTGGCAGAATTATATCATGCTTATTTGTATCAATCAGGTGGGCTTTTGTTTGCAAACTCTGTCGTGACATATGCAGCAGAAAAAACATTGCTTGACCAGCACATTCCTCTCTCGCAAAATGCGCAATTAAAGGGGATTACACTCAAATCTAAATTTGTTAGTTATTCTTCCAGCCCTCAAAAATGGTATTCTGATGTGATTTAAGCATGACATGGGCTCAGAATATTACATTTCATTGTTTCTCTATGAATAATTGTAATTTTGAGAGTGAAAAGCGAAATATCAAGAGTACGGGAGGGCAGCTCCGCTCAGCCCAGTCCAAGCTCTTCTCTGTCCTGGCACCCCAATGGTGTAACCAGTTTCCCCCTGATGCTATGACAGCAGAGTCCATGCCCAGCTTCTGAAAACGTCTGAAACCCTACCTCTTCAAAGATCATCTTTAAATAAGAAATCTGTCTTATTCCCCCCATAAAAAAGAAAAGCTTACACTTGTCTTTTCCTACCAGCACTGACTTTGTTGATAACTTCTTTATTGAGGAAACATTTACCTAGAGCTACGACTGTGATATGGGGTTGTCTCACCTAGCTATCTTAAGATGAATGCACTAACTGTAAGTCGCTCTGGATAATAGCGTCTGCTTAATGACTAAAATGTCATGTAAATGTCTGTACAGATAGCAGACTTTGGCCTGTCTAAGTGGCGCCAGCTGTCGATCAGTAAAGGATCGGGATCCAAGCCACCTGAGATGGGGGGCACCATCATCTACATGCCCCCCGAGGAGTATGAACCATCCAAGAGCCGCGGTGCAGTCATCAAACACGACATCTACAGGTGAGCCTGAAGGCTAAACAGCCAACCAGAACCAGCGTTTGAGTTATAGGACCTAGCCACGTTGCCAGATCTGTTTGTGCTTTAGCGAGCATCTCTGTCATGTGTATGGCATGACAATGAAAAACCGAGCGCTAGGCTAAAGCGCGAAGTGATATGACATTCAGGCTACCTAGGAAGAATATTAACTTTTGTTCAGACCATTATCTTGAAGGTGCCTTCATGAGTCAGCTTGTAATTTTAAAGCCTGCCCAGATCTACTCAATGGATTTTTTAGGCAGTAATATTGACTGACAATAACTCCCTTGACCAAAGCCTATGTTGAAACTCAATTTGAAATGTGGATGAAATTTGAATAGAAAAGATGCTTCTCTGGGAGTTGAGCAGTCTTTCTGTGGTGATCCACCACTTTACAACACACAACTAGAACATTCCCAGCATATATTTTTAAAGGGAGAGGAGGAGAAGTGTGTCAGCCAGCTAGGGATTTTTTACTTAACTTTAAGAGAAGTCTCTGTACTTCAAGGCACGTTTATTACTTAGCCTACGGTAAATCACACCACATTCCTCCCAGAGCAAACAGTGAGGTACTTTGTGTTAAGCTTCAATTTCATCTCAGTAATTGTCTGGAGGGAGCTTGCCCTTTCTAGATGAACACCCCATTAAATGAACCCTTTGTTACATTGAAAATGTGAAAAAGGAAATGTAGAAAAGAGATATGATACTAGCCCTTCAACTTCCCCTAACCTCTGATTTACATTCACTGGGGCTTTTGGGACATGAACAGTCATTGTGTCACTGGAAAATGTGTTGGTGTAAGACTGAGGAAATGAAATTCATGACATAGGCTTAGTATTATAAGACTTCCTCCCTTCAAGGGAAATGCCAACTCATCTAACGTGTGTTTTTCTTGATGTTCCTGTTTTAGTTACGCTATCATTATGTGGGAGGTGCTGTCCAGGAGGATACCATTTGAAGGTAATTCATTGTGTCGATGCTTTCTTTACTGTTAGAAAGCATTGCATTTGCAAACATTAGTACTGTATAAGAGTTATGGATGTTAATGATCTCACTGTTGTGGAAGCATATAGCTTCATTCAAAATTGATTTAGTCAGCTATATGCTTCCATAATGTAGATTAGCCACATGACCTCACTGTGTTTGTAGTCAGTGATGTATACCAAACTAACATTTCTGGTCTTCTGCATGCTCGAAGAGAGGAAAAACAAAGACCAAATATAGTTGGTGGGATTTCCAGCCTAATGTGATATTAAGTCTTCATTCAGAACTAAAACACTGAGTGAGCATTTGTATTTCTGTTGTCTGTACAGAGGCAACCAACCCCATGCAGATCATGTTCAGCGTACTGCGTGGGACACGTCCCGACACGGGCCTGGACAGTCTGCCAGGGGACATCCCCAGCAGGGAGACACTCATCAACCTCATGACCTGTGGCTGGACCACGAACCCCGACGAACGGCCCTCCTTTCTCAGTAAGGGACATAATAATAATAATAATAATAATAATAATAATAATAATAATAATAATAATATATTTATTTTATATAGCGCTTTTCATCACAAGTAGAATCTCAGTCGCTTAAAACAAAAAAGGGAGTTCTTGGGCGATGGTCTTCCACAACTTCAGATGCTAGGCAGTTCGGAAAAGTAGTGTCTTGAGCGAAGAGAGCATTGATGGTGCAGCCAGGCAGGGAGGTAGAGAACATCTGACAGATGGGCCCCGGAGCTCTTCATCGGGCACCTCGTCGTCTTCGACGTTCACAGCTCCTCCTTCATAGGTAGGCTGGATCGTCCGCTACCAGAAGTGTAGCACCGACCTGGGTGATGCTTCGGCGACTAAAAGCAGCAGTAAGACCACCACACCTCGGCAGTAGTCTGGAAAAGCCTCCTATGAGGCGAGCCTCTGCATCCCCTCACACCACAGTCCACTTCACTCTAGGAACCGGGGCAGGCCAAAAAGCTGATGCTGCTGATCGGGTGTTGCTGCATCATTCAAATCATATTAGCTAGCAAGCTCTAACCTTTGACCTCAACTCCTTTGTAAGAGCCATGACCTCCAACTTTTGACCTCAACTTATTACCTTAACGTGGGATGAAGTTGCCCCTAAGACACAGATCTCAGATCAGTTTGGCGCTTTCCTACCCCAAATGGTTAGTTAAGGTTCTGGCTGATTCTGGACCTGCCCCTCTCACCTTACCTTGTTACTTGGAGCTGAAACCTCCCTTGATCAACATGTCTCACGCAGTGTTTCGAATAGTTATTCTATTGACATCAATGTGTTATCTATGTAGGTGTTGCAAGTATACATTTGGCCCTAAAAGCTATAGAGCCATAACCGCCGCTCTCTGTCTTGTGCAGTGTGTGTGAAAGAGCTGGAGCCAATACTGAGGAGGTTTGATGAAATTGACATCCTGGAGGCCGTGCTGGAGGTCAAGAAGTCAAAGGTCAGTCAGTACGAGACTGTACAGTACACAGGTCACAAGGAAAACGTTTGGCCCCCCAACAACCAGGAAATGAGTTTGAACGATGCAAATAGTTTTGCCAATACAGAGTTGCCAAGTCATTCAGTATGGCCTAAGAGCGAAACGATGCATGAAAGGTTTAATTTGACAAAAGGTTTTCGTTGACACCAAATTTTGATGTACATCAGGACCTGACCAGGGTATGGACGTCCGTGTTCGTGATATGGCTTCAAATGGAGCACTCGACAATGAAACGGACAAGAGACAAACTGATGACTGAACATTTTGGTAGAACATAAGTCCGCGCACCTGCTTTACTTTATTCTTCAACATTAGAGGTGGAAGGAAATTGGCACACAGTGATCCATTTGCATCTGTTTGTAGCAGCAAATGTATCATCTTCTCTCCTCTTTCTCGTCCCCTCTCTCTCTCTAGCTGATGAGGAAGGCAGGCTGTTACTCTGCCACACCCATGGCGTGTGAGAAGAGAAGGGAGGAGGAGAAGTCTTTAAACATTCTGAAGGACAACCCCAGTCCCTGGCAAGTGAGTATAATGACCTCTAAAACAGCACCATTCACAGGGGATAAAGTTCTCTGTCACTGCAATGCATTTCCGTCATATAGATTCTGGAGAGGTCGTTTTTAAGATCGGTGTAGATTTGGAGATGACACAGCTTAATGCAGACAGAATACAAATGTATTCTCAAATACGTGATTTTCTCTGTTACTCAGTGTGCACTGAACTGACATGTATGATTGTTGCTGACACTCCAACATCGGACAACCCCATAGTAGAATAGTTTACCTAGTCGGCTTGAGGTTGTGTGTTTTATGCGAGATAAATATTCCTCTCGAGGCGCATTCAAGTTGCGAGAGCCATAGGAGGGAAGCGTATTCTGAAAGCAGTCAATGCACTACAATTCCTAATGCAATCGCGGGAAAACATTTTTGAAAGCAGTTTTCTGGGGGATCCCAGTTTTCCATTGCTACCACGTTTATTTCTCTGTTCTTCAATTGCGTGTGTCATTGTTTTACAAATGCAGTTTTACAACCGGAGTTTCCAGCATGGTTTAAGGTTACTACAAGCTCCGCTCCGTTGATCTACGTGCGTGCACGTGAGTGGAGTGGGAATTTGTGGAGTAGCAGGACACCTTTTGGTAACATGATATCCTCACCAGTCCCATTCACAAGGGGGTGATAGCAAAGTATTTTAATTTTGGTATTTTCATTTAGTAAACAACAAGGAAGAGTCCTCTTCCCTTGCTAGTAGTAGCTAGCTGGCAGCCTGGCTAGCTAGCCTTTTTAGCTTCCCACATCTCCATGTGAAATAATCAGATTTATAATTTAAAAAAATATGCCCTGGCAAATGTTCTTGTACTTGCAGGTGTAACCTAAAACATTATCCCAGTTTGATATGCTGCTTGTGTATTGATTCCCATTTCAGCTAAAAATAGAACGTCATGTTTTGGTCTCAGAGAAAAAGTCACATGGCTAGCTAGTTGGCTACAGCAGGTTCTACTATTTCACAATAGCTAGTTATTACTTCTAAACAAAATACCTTTTTGGGTGGATTCTTGGGTTCGTCTTCTCATTTGTGGTGAAAGCAAAAGAAGAGTCTCTTGTCTTGTCTACCCTTGCTAGCAAGTTGGCTAAACACTGTAATCTAGCTAGCCTTTTAGCTTCCTACATCTCCATGTGAAATAATCAGATTTATAATTAAATAATATGCCCTGAAAAATGTTATTATACTTGCCAGAGTAACCTACAACATTATCTTAATTTGATATGCTGCTTCAATGTATTCACTCCCATATCAGCTAAAAATAGAATGTCATCATTTTTTGTCATAGAGAGAAAAAAAGCACATGGCTGTCTGTTTTAGCGTAGAATAACGTTATCACTTCTAAACAAAATACATTTGGGGGGGATTCTATAAAGCTACAATGTTTGGTTTATTGTTTAAACAGTCGCTGAGATTATGTTTGGTTATCAATGTAAAATAGGCTACTTTGATGAATAGCCAATATAGCCTATAGATCAGATCAAGGAACTAAGCAACAACACGGCAGCGGAAGGAATGATACGTCTGGTCTCAATCTCCAGGTAGAAGAAAACTGCGTCGAATGCCAGAGCGTATTACAAGGAGTCGCCTCTTTTGTGACGAAAACGATATTGCAACACTGCGCTATGCTCCTTCGGCACCGTCTGTGTATTCTCTGTAGATTCCTTTAGGCGCAGCTGCACAACAGAGCTCTTAAAATGCTAATGACATACTTTGTAATAGAAAAATATATATCATTTTTCGAGTGAATAATAATTAATAATTATTTATTCATATTTATAATAAAATAATAATAAATAATAATTACAATCAGGATGTTGTGTCCAATGGGGTAAATGCAGATGGACAAACCCCATGCTTCAGCCTATGTACATTTGTGGTGCGCGGGTCATTGTAGTGTTCACAGGCACCCGCCCGCAATTGCTAATAACCCATCCACAACCGCCCGACTAGGCCTATGTGTGAAAAAGTGAAAATCTGAGGCCTGCACCCGAACCTAACCCGCTAATATAGAAATGCGCTGTAGGAACAATTTTTTTGACAGGGGGTGCAGGACCTTTTTTGCCTTATTTAGATGTATATGTTTCTTCTAATAATTTCCAACATTTTAGTAGGCTATTTGTTAGTCAACTTGTCTATAATTAGATATATGCAGCTTATCTTCTGTCATTACATGTTACCCTAGAAGACTAAATAAACTGTTGCTCACCAGAATAATGTCATAAATCGATAGAATGAAAGCTTCAATCGAGTTGACATCGGTAACGTTTTCTCTCTCATCTCTGCTTCTTTCCTGGAGCAAAGACGTTTAGGGACCAGGAACGATTTTCTGTTTAAAATGTCCAACTGACATCAGTTTGACCAGCTGTGAAAACAACCCAACATGTTTCTAAGATTTCAGTTTGGCTTGGATGCATATTTAATGTGGTTGAAATACTATCTGCTTTTATGATGCTGATAAATATAGACCTACCATCTGTAGAGGTGCTGTCTAACTGCTCATTCGCATTCTCTCGCGAAATGCTGAAATAAATCAATCATATTTCTCCACTCCTGTTCCCGAGTAAAATGTTTGCCTACATTTGGTAAATCATTTTACTGTAAGAAATACTTCATTCTGCTGGAGTTAATATTAAGGTTATAGACCTAGAGCCTAAAGTTAGTGTCCAGATTTCAGTTTACATTTAACCCATCTGAACAGTAGGCTACAGTTCCCTTGACGTGCCATAGGCCTATTTGAAGTCCCCATCATGTGACTGTCGATTTTGTATATCGCCTCAGTCATTATACATAACATACAACACTGATATAATCATTTTTTACCACTTGGCGTGTAGGCTATTTGGCTCTCATCCAGTTAGGCCCTAAAGCTTAGGCTGACGCACTAATGCCAGATAGCCTAAAATAATGAAAGGAAAACCTTAGTGTAGCCCGGATATAACCGCGGGGACTGTGGGTTATGAGTCACCCTGCGCATCACTAGTACATTTTATTAGCTACTATGCTTCATCAGTTAGGCTATATGTGATAGTGCTTATTGCTAATAGCACATCTGATAATATAGACCATGCATAGGCTATATGCGTGGTCCAATATGTTAAAATATATATTATTTTTACCAATATGTTATTGGGCCCATTTCTGGAGGCAGCATCATTTTATTTTCATTAATTTTGGAGTAGAATGTCCTTTTAAAAAGTCACCAGAACTGAGCTTCTCAGTCCTTCTACATAAAAATGATCCCAGGGAGGACCCCGGACACCCTAAGCAAGGGGACTGAAAATGGTCAAACTCACAGTTTAAAACATGTACAAAATTATCTTATTTCCCTAAAAGCATGATGGTCATGACTTTCTTACATGAAAGGGGAAGTTAACTTGGTCCCAGACAATCGATCTGAGATCGACTGAAGTTTCAGTCATGGGATTTTTTTTACCTTTAACCCCTGCATTCACTGTATTCTAAAGGCTTCAGTTCCCATCTGTAGGACTTGGCAGGACTTGGTGTTCTTTCAGTTCGCTCTTAAAGTGATCCTCTGGGCCAAGCACGCTGAACTTTTCACCCCTAAAACATTGCGAGGAAAGACAAATATCAACAATGTTGTGGAAGTGGTTTCAGTGATAAACTAACCACAAATCTGTAATAGTTGTAGGTCAATATGACAATATCAACAATGTGGAACTCAGTATAGTGTCTAACCAGTAATAAAGATCTGTTATTTTTAGCCTCTTATGTATAGGACTCAGGTTTCTTTGTGTGTGTGCGTATCAGGGGTTGGAACTGAAATGACTTTCCAATCTTTTAGGTCTGAGCCGAACCACTTTTTTTGTTCCATTCCATTGTTCCGAACCGGATCGAACCTGGAAAAAAGGTACCGGTTTTATATTGTTCCTTACTGTTAGTTTTTTTACTTGTGAAATCGACATCGGTTTTACATTTAGCTCATTAAATTACTCCAATCAGTGCAGATAGAGCAGCATTCTATGGACCGGGCAAGCGAGTTGTTCACATGCTTGATGGACAGCGAGTGTATGGCGCGAGATGCGACTGAAATTTTGCAGGGTGGGGAGAGGGCGCGAGAGAGGGGTGGACATGGAGGAGGCTTGTTTTGAAGTGCTGGGCATCATGATATGACGTGCATTATAATATGTTCAAGATATTAGTAGGCCTATCATTACTTCACTGAATTACATAATTATATGCTAGCTAGATAGGCTAGCTACGGAGGAGCGGCTAATATGGGGAAACTTTGAACGTCCCAGAGTTGGCTCAACGTCGAGGCTTGCTCAACGCCCTGGACCAGAGCTAGCTAACAATCTCCCCACTGGGCACACACTGGTTGAATCAATGTTGTTTAATGTAATTTGGCAATGTATTGTGATGTCGAATCAATGTGGAAAATACATTGGATTTGAACAAAGTCATCAACCAGTACTGTTTTCCTCACATTTCAACCAGCGTTGTAAACATTGAAATGAGGGTTAAACTTAAATACATTGATGTAACAACCTGTTAGTCAGGATAAGTCAATCTAATTTCTACCTAATCATCAGAACTATGTATACTTTGAAATTGCGTAGATCTTTTTTTTTCATCCTATATTCAATGCTCAAAAAAATAAAGGGAACACTTAAACAACACAATGTAACTCCAAGTCAATCACACTTCTGTGAAATCAAACTGTCCACTTAGGAAGCAACACTGATTGACAATACATTTCACATGCTGTTGTGCAAATTGGAATAGACAACAGGTGGAAATTATAGGCAATTAGCAAGACACCCCCAATAAAGGAGTGGTTCTGCAGGTGGTGACCACAGACCACTTCTCAGTTCCTATGCTTCCTGGCTGATGTTTTGGTCACTTTTCAATGCTGGCGGTGCTTTCACTCTAGTGGTAGCATGAGACGGAGTCTACAACCCACACAAGTGGCTCAGGTAGTGCAGCTCATCCAGGATGGCACATCAATGCGAGCTGTGTCAAGAAGGTTTGCTGTGTCTGTCAGCGTAGTGTCCAGAGCATGGAGGCGCTACCAGGAGAGAGGCCAGTACATCAGGAGACGTGGAGGAGGCCGTAGGAGGGCAACAACCCAGCAGCAGGACCGCTACCTCCGCCTTTGTGCAAGGAGGAGCAGGAGGAGCACTGCCAGAGCCCTGCAAAATGACTTCCAGCAGGCCACAAATGTGCATGTGTCTGCTCAAACGGTCAGAAACAGACTCCATGAGGGTGGTATTTACATTTACATTTAAGTCATTTAGCAGACGCTCTTATCCAGAGCGACTTACAAATTGGTGCATTCACCCTATATGAGGGCCCGACGTCCACAGGTGGGGGTTGTGCTTATAGCCCAACACCGTGCAGGACGTTTGGCATTTGCCAGAGAACAACAAGATTGGCAAATTCGCCACTGGCGCCCTGTGCTCTTCACAGATGAAAGCAGGTTCACACTGAGCACATGTGACCGACGTGACAGAGTCTGGAGACGCCGTGGAGAACGTTCTGCTGCCTGCAACGTCCTCCAGCATGACCGGTTTGGCGGTGGGTCAGTCATGGTGTGGGGTGGCATTTCTTTGGGGGGCCGCATAGCCCTCCATGTGCTCGCCAGAGGTAGCCTGACTGCCATTAGGTACCGAGATGAGATCCTCAGACCCCTTGTGAGACCATATGCTGGTGCGGTTGGCCCTGGGTTCCTCCTGATGCAAGACAATGCTAGACCTCATGTGGCTGGAGTGTGTCAGCAGTTCCTGCAAGAGGAAGGCATTGATGCTATGGACTGGCCCGCCCGTTCCCCAGTCCTGAATCCAATTGAGCACATCTGGGACATCATGTCTCGCTCCATCCACCAACGCCACGTTGCACCACAGACTGTCCAGGAGTTGGCGGATGCTTTAGTCCAGGTCTGGGAGGAGATCCCTCAGGAGACCATCCACCACCTCATCAGGAGCATGCCCAGGCGTTGTAGGGAGGTCATACAGGCACGTGGAGGCCACACACACTACTGAGCCTCATTTTGACTTGTTTTTAGGACATTACATCAAAGTTGGATCAGCCTGTAGTGTGGTTTTCCACTTTAATTTTGAGTGTGACTCCAAATACAGACCTCCATGGGTTGATACATTTGATTTCCATTGATCATTTTTGTGTGATTTTGTTGTCAGCACATTCAACTATGTAAAGAAAAAGTATTTAATAAGATTATTTCATTCATTCAGATCTAGGATGTGTTATTTTAGTGTTCCCTTTATTTTTTTGAGCAGTGTATGTTGGGTGGTTAAAATTGTTACATTTCATAAATGATTAGACATGTTATTTGACCTTGTTTAAATGTTCATAGTAAAATTGTATGTTTGAATCAGTCATTGTTTCAACGTCATGCCATCAACCTAAATAAAGAGGTATATTAAAGTAAAATGTGAAGCCACAGTCCAGTGACTCCTACTGGTATATGAGGGGTAATGCACTTCAGTGAGAACAAGTCTCCCGTCCAGATGCCTACCTCTATGTACCCTGCTTAGCTTTGGAAAGAAGCTGTGTTCGATTCAGCTGAGTTATCATGTCAACACATTCAGAGATTGATCATCTTCCGTACTCATTTGCATAGACTACCTAAATAAACGTTGAATAGTTGAAAGTAACAAACTTTTCTTACACAAGCTGTATGTGAAAGTCAATTCTGAGTGAGGTTGGGTTTATGTATGCTACATTGACATCTGATTTCCCCAACAAAGGACACCAAAATTTCAACGTGTACTATCATTCATCCATGGTTGATTGGATCTTTGAAATTGTATAAGTAGTTACCATTAGCTCTATAAATAGGATGCCAAAATTCATGATATTAATAATACACTTTTACCTTTGGTTATTGTCTTTTTATATATTAGTGATTGGACATGATTTGGAAAGGCACACACCTGTCTATATAAGGTCCCACAGTTGACAGTGCATGTCAGAGCAAAAACCAATCCGTGAGGTCGAAGGAATTGTCCGTAGAGCGCAGAGACAGCATTGTGTCGAGGCACAGATCTGTGGAATGGTACCAAAAAATGTCTGCAGCATTGAATGTCCCCAAGAAGACAAGACTCTTCCTAGAGCTGGCCGCCCGGCCAAACTGAGCAATTGCGGGAGAAGGGCCTTGGTCAGGGAGGTGACCAAGAACCCGATGGTCACTCTGACAGAGCTCCAGAGTTCCTCTGTGGAGATGGGAGAACTTTCCAGAAGGACAACCATCTCTGGAGATCCCACCAATCAGGCATTTATGGTAGAGTGGCCAGACTGAAGCCACTCCTCAGTAAAAGGCACATGACTGCCCGCTTGGAGTTTCTTTTATACATTTGTAAAACAATTTTTAAAATCAATTTTAGAATGAGGCTGTAATGTAACAAAATGTACTTTTAGATTACATTTGAAATCGACCAACCTCCTTCATACACAAGACAATATCCAAAGGTAAAAGTGTATTATTAATATCATGAATTTGGCATCCTATTTATAGGGCTAATGGTAACTACTTCCAAAGATCCAATCAACCATGGATGAATGACAGTATAAATGATGGTGTCCTTTGTTGGGCAAATCAGAAATCGATGTAGCCTACATAAACCCAACCTCACTCCGAATTTACTTTTCACATACAGCTTGTGTAAGAAAAGTTTGTTACTTTCAACTATTCAACATTTATTTAGGTAGTCTATGCAAATTAGTATGGAAGCTGATCAATGTCTAAGTGTGTTGACATGATAGCTAAGGCTGAAACATACACAGCTAAGCAGGTTTTTATAGAGGTAGGCATCTGGATGGTAGACTCCTGGATGGTAGACCCGTTCTAACATCCAGGAGTGCATTACCCCTCATATACCAGTAGGAGTCACTGTTCAGGCAGGAGTTGTTGGACTCTGGCTTCTCATTTATTTCAATATGCCTCTTTATTTAGGTTGATGGCATGACGTTGAAACAATGGCATTGATTCAAACCATTTTACTATCAACATTGAAACAATGTCAAATAAAATGTGTCTAATCAAATATTAATTTCAACCACCCATACAAAGCATTAGGAACACCTGCTCTTTCCATGACATAGACTGATGAGGTGAATCCAGGTGAAAGCTATGATTCGTTATTGATGTCACTTGTTAAATCCACTTTAATCAGTGTAGGTGAATGGGTGGAGACAGGAACAAAGAAGGATCTTCAAGCCTTGAGACAATTGAGACATGGATTGTGTATGTGTGCCATTCAGAGGGTGAATGGGCAAGGCAAACGATTTAAGTGCCTTTGAACGGGATATGGCAGTAGGTGCCAGACGCACTGGTTTGAGTGTGTCAAGAACTGCAACGCTGCTGGGTTTTTCACACTCAACAGTTTTCTGTGTGTATCAAGAATAGTCCACCATCCAAAGCACATCCAGCCAACTTGACACAACACTGAGCATTTGAGTCAACATGGGCCAGCATCCCTGTGGAACGCTTTCGACACCTTGTAGAGTCCATGCCCCGGCGAATTGAGACTGTTCTGAGGGGAAAAGGGGGTGCAACTCAATATTAGGAAGATGTTCCTAATGTTTTGTACACTCAGTGTATATCTAACTGTCTCTTGCCTACAGTGGCACTCTTTGTTTATCAACCACCCAATAAACTCAGGCGTTCCTACAGACTTCCACCTTAGCACCCTTTACTAACATGCTTCTAAAAAGATACCACATCTTTAGATTTTTCGGTCACACTTTCAACTTTTCATTCTTAATCATATGAATCCTCAACACATGAAAAGGTGTGGACACACCAGTCTGCTACACACATTGAAATCCTATATCTTCATACATTAAATGGCAGAATTAGAATTGAAAATCACAAAACTTCCAAGACAGTTACTTTCTAGCTATAATGCATATTAATATGTTACAGTAATGTTCTGCAAAAATGGGGGACGGTTTGACAAACTCCTGGACTAAAAAGCACTTTCAAAAAAATAATTCAATTTAGCATGCTTTCAAGTCCAGAAGTAGTGTTAAAATGGCTCCGGGAAACCAGCCCTGTGTCTGTGTGTCTCTTGCTCTGATCCTTACCATTTAGTCTGCCTATAAACTTGGGCCTCCTGTCTTCAGGCAGGTATATGGCCACGTAGTAGACAGGCACTCCAGACAGGGCGATGCCGATCCCTATGAGGGAGTTAATGGTGTCTCCGTATAGAGGGACGATGACCAGGAACAGACTGCACAGGCAGTAAACGAAGGGAAAGAACAGGGAGAGCTGTGGAGAGGAGCCAATGGTTAGCCAGGATACAGCAGGTCAAACTATGGTGATGATACACAACTATGCAGATGCAAGTTTACTCATCCATTGGCATCCCTCTCTCATCTGTATGTGTGTGAGACAGATATAAAAAGAGAGAGAGACAAGTCAATCAAACACACAAACTCAGACACCAATCTTTCTAACATTACCTTAACGGGTCTGTGTCTGTCTGGCTGAGTGAAGCGCAGATAGATGAGGCCGGCCACAGACAGGCCCACGTAGAGCCAGTAGCTGAAGCTGAAGTAGTTGATGAGCTGGAACACGTCCTCCACACACAGGAAGATCAAGCCCATCAACCCCTGCAAGAACACACAACCCAGGGATCAGTGACGTTCTACTGTGGGTCTGATCTGAATGCCCCATAGACCAGCGTTTTTCTAAAGATAGATCATAGATTCCTTTTGGGTTGCTTTAGGTGGGCCATGGCACGCACCTGTGACCTAAGAGATATACTATACAGTAGATATCAAAAGAGAGCATTATGCTCTAAGATGTGATGTCACTCACGTTGAATATTAGGGCGGGCACAGGTGTGTAGTGCTCCGCCTGGATCATGGAGAGAGAGAGGAGACGGAGAGAGAGGGAGATGGGGGACAGAGAGAGGGGGGACAGAGAGAAATATGGAGAGAGAGGGGACAGAGAGAGGGATGGAGAGGGAGGGGGAACAGAGAAAGGAATGGAGAGAGAGGGGTACAGAGAGAGGAATTGAGAGAGAGAGAGGGGGGACGGAGAGAAAGATGGAGAGAGAGGGGCCATTATCCCTATGGAACACTTTCGACACCTTGTAGAGTCAATGCCACAACGAATTGAGGCTGTTCTGAGGGCAAAAGGGGGAACAACTCAATATTAGAAAGGTGTTCCTAATGTTTTGTGCACTCAGTGTATGTGTGAAATTTGTTTCGGTACAGTTTAGGTTCTGTTTCAAAGCATTTATTGGGATGATTATCAACTGGGCATGGCACCTTCCATTGTCAGGAGAAGGAGCGGTGCAGGCCCTACTGTCGGGAGAAGGAGGGTCAACAGGGGAAAATCAATTTGAAAAACGACATGCCCTCCTAAAACTGGTTATAACTCCAGTTCTGTTTGTGATATTAAGATTCTAACAATGGCAATGTGTTATATACTGTAGTAGGTTTGAGCGGTATCCAGATTTTCATATTGTCATACCGTCCTTCTCTCACTGCCTTAGGGAAACTCCAGCTCTGGCTCTGGGTCTTGCTCCTCCCAGGACACTGACATCTCCCGACCGAGCTCCCTCACTAGCACCAATGCCCCGCCTTCTAAAGGTAAGCCTACCTCCTTTCCTGGACTGTGATTGACAGCTCCAATTGACAGCTGAAGAGTTTCCTGAGTACTAGTCTGTTGCTGCGTTATATATGTTGTATACTCTTCTCTTTTGAAAAGACTGAATAGATACATCCGAGTGGCGCAGTGGTCTAAGGCACTGCATCGCAGTGCTAGCTGTGCCACTAGAGATCCTGGTTCGAATCCAGGCTCTGTCGTAGCCGGCCGCGACCGGGAGACCCATGGGGCGGCGCACAATTGGTCCAGGGTAGGGGAGGGAATGGCCGGCAGGGTGGCCAGTTCGATTCCCACGGGGGGCCAGTATGAAAAATAAAAGAATGTATGCACTCACTAACTGTAAGTCGCTCTGGATAAGAGCGTTTAATAAATGACTAAAATGTAAGTTAATGAGAAGAAATATCCTCCTCTTCTTCCCTGGAGGAGCCTCCTCTGATTGACACCCATCTCTCCTCGTCTCCCCTTCTCATCCCTCCTAGAAGTATCCCCCATGTCATTCATGTCCCACACCCTGGGGCCCCTCAGAGAGCAGACCCTAGAGGGCAACAACTTCAATGACTACCCCCACAGTGCCAGGCCCCTGGAAAACCTCAATATTCCCCTCAAACCGGGCCTGCCTGAGACGGAGTGTGTGACGCACCTGGACAACCTCACCCTGAAGCCACAGCCATACCAACCACAACCAGGTAATAGAAGTTCACAACCAAATCAAAACTAACATTACACCCTCCTAGTCTCACTACCTACAGTGCCTTCAGAAAGTATTCATACCCCTTGAGTTATACACCATTTTGTTGTGTTACAGCCTGAATTCAAAATGGATTAAATATATTTTTTTCTCACCCATCTACACACAATACCCCATAATGACAAAGTGAAAACATGTTTTTAGAAATGCTGAGGAGTATTTCTATCTGTAATAAAGGCCTTTTGTGGAGAAAAACGAATTCTGATTGGCTGGGCCTGGCTCCCCAGTGATTGGCCCTGGCTGCCCAGTGGGTGGGCCTATGCCCTCCCAGGCCCACCCATGGCTGCACCCCTGCCCAGTCATGTGAAATCCATAGAATAGGGCCTAATGAATTTATTTAAATTGACTGATTTCCTTCTATGAAGTGTAACTCAGTAAAATCTTTGAAATTGTTGCATGTTGCGTTTATATTTTTGTTCAGTATGAATGTACACTGCATTCGGAAAGTATTCAGACCCCTTTACTTTTTCCACATTTTGTTACGTTACAACCTTATTCTATAATGGATTAAATTGTTTTTTCCCCTCATCAATCTACACACAATACCCCATAATGACAAAGCAAAATCTGGTTTTTATAAATTTTTGCAAATGTATTAAAAATAAATAACTGAAATATCACATTTACATAAGTATTCAGACCCTTTACTCAGTACTTTGTTGAAGTACCTTTGGCAGCGATTACAGCCTCAAATCTTCTGACGCTACAAGCTGTGCACACCTGTATTTGGGGAGTTTCTCCCATTCTTCTCTGCAGATCCTCTCAAGCTCTGTCAGGTTGGATGGGGAGCGTTGCTGCATAGCTGTTTCAGGTCTCTCCAGAGATGTTCGATCGGGTTCAAGTCCGGGCTCTGTCTGCGCCACTCAAGAACATTCAGAGACTTGTCCCGAAGCCACTCTTGCGTTGACTTGGCTGTGTGCTTAGGGTCGTTGTCCTGTTGGAAGGTGAACTTCGACCCAGTCTGAGGTCCTGAGTGCTCTGGAGCAGGTTTTCATCAAGGACCTCATCTTTCCCTTGATCCTGACTAGTCTCCCAGTCCCTGCCGTGACCATCGGGTTCTTGGTCACCTCCCTGACCAAGGCCCTTCTCTCCCGATTGCTCAGTTTGGCCAGGCAGCCAGCTCTAGGAAGAGTCTTGGTGGTTCCAAACTTCTTCCATTTAAGAATGATGGAGGCCACTGTGTTCTTGGGGACCTTCAATGCTGCAGACATTTTTTGGGACCCTTCCCCAGATCTGTGCCTCAACACAATCCTGTCTCGGAGCTCTACAGACAATTCCTTCGACCTCATAGCTTGATTTTTGCTCCGACATGCACTGTCAACTGTGGGACCTTATATAGATAGGTGTGTGCCTTTCCAAATAATGTTCAATCAATTTAATTTACCACAAGGATGATCAATGGAAACAGGATGCACCTGAGCTCAATTTCAAGTCTCATAGCAAAGGGTCTGAATACTTATGTAAATAAAGTGTTTCTGTTTATAATTTTTGTAAATACATTTGCACAAAAAAACAAAACTCCCACGGGGGTCCAGTATGAAAAATGCATGCACTCACTAATTGTAAGTCGCTCTGGATAAGAAAGTCTGCTAAATGACTAAAATGTCAATTGGATCACTAAGTCGGAAGTTTACATACATACACTTAGGTTGGAGTCATTAAAACTCATTTTTCAACCACTCCACAAATGTCTTGTTAACAAACTATAGTTTTGGCAAGTCGGTTAGGACATCTACTTTGTGCATGACACAAGTAATTTTTCCAACAATTGTTTACAGACAGATTATTTCACTTATAATTCACTGTATCACAATTCCAGTGGGTCAGAAGTTTACATGCACTAAGTTGACTGTGCCTTTAAATAGTTTGGAAAATTCCAGAAAATGATGTCATGGCTTTAGAAGCTTCTGATAGGCTAATTGACATAATTTGAGTCAATTGGAGGTGTACCTGTGGATGTATTTCAAGGCCTACCTTCAAACTCAGTGCCTCTTTGCTTGACATCATGGGAAAATCAAAAGAAATCAGCCAAGAACTCAGAAAAAGAATTGTAGACCTCCACAAGGTGTGGTTCATCCTTGGGAGCAATTTCCAAACGCCTGAAGGTACCACGTTCATCTGTACAAACAATAGTACACAAGTATAAACACCATGGGATCACGCAGCCGTCATACCGCCCAGGAAGGAGACGCGTTCTGTCTCCTAGAGATGAACGTACTTTGGTGCAAAAAGTGCAAATCAATCCCAGAACAGCAGCAAAGGACCTTGTGAAGATGCACGTCTGTCACTGCAGGTTTTGAGTCCCTGGCGGCGTAGTGTGTTACTGATGGTAGGCTTTGTTACTTTGGTCCCAGCTCTCTGCAGGTCATTCACTAGGTCCCCCCGTGTGGTTCTGGGATTTTTGCTCACCGTTCTTGTGATCATTTTGACCCCACGGGGTGAGATCTTGCGTGGAGCCCCAGATCGAGGGAGATTATCAGTGGTCTTGTATGTCTTCCATTTCCTAATAATTGCTCCCACAGTTGATTTCTTCAAACCAAGCTGCTTACCTATTGCAGATTCAGTCTTCCCAGCCTGGTGCAGGTCTACAATTTTGTTTCTGGTGTCTTTTGACAGCTCTTTGGTCTTGGCCATAGTGGAGTTTGGAGTGTGACTGTTATGGACAGGTGTCTTTTTTACTGATAACAAGTTCAAACAGGTGCCATTAATACAGGTAACGAGTGGAGGACAGATGAGCCTCTTAAAGAAGAAGTTACAGGTCTGTGAGAGCCAGAAATCTTGCTTGTTTGTAGGTGACCAAATACTTATTTTCCACCATAATTTGCAAATAAATTCATAAAAAATCCTACGATGTGATTTTCTGGAATTGTTTCTCTCATTTTGTCTGTCATAGTTGACGTGTACCTATGATGAAAAGTACAGGCCTCTCTCATCTTTTTAAGTGGGAGAACTTGCACAATTGGTGGCTGACCAGGGGCGGCCTGTTCAATAGGGCGATATGGGCGACGCACTGCCAAACGGGAAAAGGAAGGGATTTTTTTTCTAATCAATTATATCACGGCAACAGTAGTTATCAGTGTTGTAATCTATACGTCTGATCTGCCACAGTGCCACACTGCCACTAAATGTCGAATCAGGCTAAAGTCGTGCTTCAAATGGCTCCCCCCCCCTTTTGGGGCGATTTCAGTCAGGTTGAAAATCGCCCAGAAGTCTGTCATAGACTCCCATGTAAAATCTATTTTTTTCAAATTTCAGAGCCTTCAATACAATCTCAATGGGTGTCTGTGGGCTTGCACTTACGCGCTTTCGTCATACGTTACGTAACCATGAACGTAACTGAGAAAAGAGTGGATTGTTTGAAAGAAGTTCCTTTTTGTCGGCGAACAAATGAAGATAAATTGGCAACGAAACAATTAGGACCTCCCAGACCAAATTTAATAATTCAACAGGTTTCTACTAAAGGCGGAAAGTCCTACACCCGAGGATTTTCCAAAAATTGGTACGAACGAAAAAAGACATTGCCACTCACTCAACTGGATGACGAGGGATACAGGCTAGCTGTCCGCCGCCACAACGATGAGGTTAGTGTTGATAATCACAAGTTTACTGGATGTGGATATGGTGTAATAAAGGCAGTTTATTCAGAGGTAAATATATCTGGAATCGCGTTCACGGACCCGTTCGTCAAACTCTTAGGGAGCTATAAATTAAGCCCCATTACTTACCATATCAGATAAGAGAAATTGCTGCAGCTACATATATTTTACATCCTGGCCCTACATAGTTCACTATTTGCATCACTTACCAAAATATTACATGTGGTCATATATGCTTGGAAATTGGAGATGCCATAGAACGTCAAAAAAGTAAACATTGCTGGAGACACATTGCCGTTTTGGAGAAGACATCGCGTTTGCTAGCGAAGAGATTTGTTGTGGCAAATGAACTTGGGCTGGGAATTGCCAGGAACCTCACGATAAGATATATGCATCAGCATTGCGAGTCTCATGATTCTATACGTATTGCGATTCGATACTGTGATTTTATTGCGCACCATATGTCTGTTGCAGAGGGATCAGAAAGCCATGAGAACGAGTTTTGATCAGTCATGGAAATAAAAGTGCTGAAAACAAATTGGCTCCCAATGTGAAAAGATTGAGAACAAGCTATGAAGGAACAATAATGGTGTTTTGGTGCAGGTACAGCCAACTAGCGCTAAAATATTGCGATATTGTCAATACAGTATATCGTAAAGTATCACTATGTAACTCGATTTCTTTCACCCCAATCCCTCAAATTAACGGTAAATAACTGAATTGTTTGCCCCACATTTAGCTAAGATGATTAGCTAGCCAGCTAAAATGTTTTATTTAGTTAGCAGTCGCATCTACAATAGTTTACTGTCAATAACATGTCTCCAAAAATGACGTGGTGTCTCCAATTGTGTTGACATTTTACAATTGCAATGCGCATCCATGAGTATCCACTTTCTGTAGCTCAGCTGGTAGAGCATGGTGCTTGTAACGCCAAGGTAGTGGGTTCGATCCCCGGGACCACCCATACACAAAAATGTATGCACGCATGACTGTAAGTCGCTTTGGATAAAAGCGTCTGCTAAATGGCATATTATTATTATTATTATTATTATTATTATTATTATTATTATTATTATCTGAAGAGAGCCCCGAAACATTGTGTGCAGACATTTTATGCAATAAATGAAGTAGGTTCAATCTAGTAGTTCTGATCTTCTGATTGGTCCTGATGAGTTGGGCGAGGTCCCCTGCAGGCTACTGTCACTGTTGCATTGGCTCTGAGTCGGGTTCTCTGTCTTCAAATGTTCAGCCTAAGAGAGGGGATTTTTGTGTGTGTGTGTGTGTGTGTTTAACAGTGATGATGTGTGTGTGTGTGTGTGTGTTTAACAGTGATGATGTGTGTGTGTGTGTGTGTGTGTTTGTGTGTGTGTGTGTCCTCAGAGCAAGAACTCGTGACTTGGAAGAACTGAGAGGCCTATGGCGTGGGTGTTGTCCTTGGCCACCTGCTGACAAGGCTGACAAGATAGGACCCTTTTGTCCATTGTTATTGGATAGGAACAGAACTTATAACCAGCTCCTGACCTAAATAGATCTTAGCACAACATTTTACTCAACATATCATATTCCATATTCACTATAACAAATATATTTACTACGACATTAGCAAGAACCGCCACATCCTCAGCCGGCTAATCCAGTGTGTGAAGTTTTGCGGAGTGTTTGAGTTAGCTTTGCGAGGCAAAGATGAAACTGAGGGCTCCACCAACCCTGGTAAGCCAACACTTTTGAGATCAGTCAATAAATGCTTCTGGTATTGACTTATATGCTGCCCCTGTCTTCATGTTGTTGCTGGACATATCTTTTTTTAAATGTGTGTAGGTCACCTAAATCATCAGAAAAATTGCCCCTCCTGAGAATTTTTTCAGGAGCCGCCACTGTGGCTGACTAAATACTTTTTTTCCCCACTGTAACCTGAAAGGCCACTCAGCAAGGAAGAAGCCACTGCTCCAAAACCGCCATAAAAAAGCCAGACTACGTTTTGCAACTGCGCATGGGGACAAAGATTGTACTTTTTGGAGAAATGTCCTCTGGTCTGATGAAACAAAAATAGAACTGTTTGGCCATAATGACCATCGTTATGTTTGGAGGAAAAAGGGGGCAGCTTGCAAGCCAAAGAACACCATCCCAACCGTGAAGCACGGGGGTGGCAGCATCATGCTGTAGGGGTGCTTTGCTGCAGGAGGGACTGGTGCATTTCACAAAATAGATGGCATCATGAGGAAGGAAAATTATGTGGATATATTGAAGTAACATCTCAAGACATCAGTCAGGAAGTTAAAGCTTGGTCGCAAATGGGTCTTCCAAATAGACAATGACCCCAAGCATACTTCCAAAGTTGTGCCAAAATGGCTTAAGGACAACAAAGTCAAGGTATTGGAGTGGCCATCACAAAGCCCTGACCTCAATCCTATAGAAAATGTGTGGCAGAACTGAAAAAGCATGTGCGAGCAAGGAGGCCTACAAACCTGACTCAGTTACACCAGCTCTGTCAGGAGGAATGGGCCAAAATTCACCCAACATATTGTGGGAAGCTTGTGGAAGGCTACCCGAAACATTTGACCCAAATTAAACAATTTAAAGGCAATGCTACCAACTACTAATTGAGTGTATGTAAACTTCTGACCCACTGGGAATGTGATGAAAGAAATAAAAGCTGAAATAAATTATTCTCTCTACTATTATTCTGACATTTCACATTCTTAAAATAAAGTGGTGATCCTAACTGACCTAAGACAGGGAATTTGTACTAGGATTAAATGTCAGGAATCGTGAAAAACTGAGTTTAAATGTATTTGGCTAAGGTGTATGTAAACTTCCAACTTCAACTGTATGTATGTGTAATATATATAAAAATTGTAATATAAATAAATATCACATTTACCTAAGTCAACTATTGCTGTATACTGTATATACTATTATTTCAAATTGAATTGACTAGAATACAGTATATACATGTGAAATGAGTAAAACAGTATGTAAACATTATTAAAGTAACCAGTGTTCCATTATTAAAGTGGTCAGTGATTCCATGTCTAAGGTGCAGGGTTGGGTAACCGGGTGGTAGACGGCTAGTGACCGTGACTAAGTTCAGGACAGGGTACTGGGTGGAGGCCAGCAAGTGATGGCTATTTAACAGTCTGATGGCCTTGAGATAGAAGCTGTTTTTCAGTCTCTCGGTCCCAGCTTTGATGCATCTGTATTGACCTCGCCTTCTGGATGATAGTGGGGTGAACAGGCCATGGCTCGGGTGGTTGATGTCCTTGATGATCTTTTTGGCCTTCCTGTGACATTGGCCTTCCTGAGCTGTAGGTGTCCTGGAGGGCAGGCAGTGTGCCCCCGGTGATGCGTTGGGCAGACTGCACCACCCTCTGGAGAGCCCAGTGGTACCAGCCGGTGATACAGCCCGACAGGATGCTCTCAATGGTGCATCTGTAAAAGTTTGTGAGGGTCTTAGGGGCCAAGCCACATTTTTTCAGCCTCCTGAGGTTGAAGAGGTGCTGTTACGCCTTCTTCACCACATTGTCTGTGTGGGTGGACCATTTCAGATTGTCAGTGATGTGTACGCCGAGGAACTTGAAGCTTTTCACCTTCTCCACTGCGGCCCCGTTGATGTGGATGGGGGCATGGTCCCTCTGCTGTCTCCTGAAGTCCACGATCAGTTCCTTCATTTTTGTTGACGTTGAAGGAGAGGTTATTTTCTTGACCCTCACCTCCTCTCTGTAGGCTGTCTCTGTTGTGTCGTCTGCAAACTTGATGATCGAGTTGGAGGCGTGCATGGCCATGCAGTCATGGGTGAACAGGGAGTACAGGGGGGGGGGGGGGGGGGTGAGCGAGCACGCACCCTTGTTGGGCCCCTGTGTTGAGGATCAGCATAGCGGAGGTGTTGTTTCCTACCTTCGCCACCTAGGGGCGGCCCGTCAGGAAGTCCAAAACCCAGTTGCACAGGGCGGGGTTCAGCACCTTTTGCAACGATTACAGCTGTGAGTCTTTCTGGGTAAGTCTCTAAGAGCTTTCCACACCTGGATTGTGCAACATTTGCCCATTATTCTTCAAGCTCTGATAAATTGGATGTTGATCATTGCTAAACAACCCCTTTCAGGTCTTGCCATAGATTTTCTAGTAGATTTAAGTCAAAACTGTAACTCTGCCACTCAGGAACATTCACTGTCTTCTCGGTAAGCAACTCCAATGTAGATTTGGCCTTGTGTTTTAGGTTGTCCTGCTGAAAGGTGAATTCATCTGCCAGTGTCTGGTGGAAAGCAGACTGAACCAGGTTTTCCTCTAGAATTTTGCCTGTGTTTTGCTCCATTCCGTTTATTTTTTATCCTGAAAAACTCCCCAGTCCTTAACGATTACAAGCATACACATAACATGATGCAGGCACCACTATGCTTGAAAATATGGAGAGTGGTACTCAGTAATGTGTTGTATTGGATTTGCCACAAACATTGCACTTTGTATTCAGGACAAAAATATAATTGCTTTGCCACATTTTTTGCAGTATTACGTTAGTGCCTGGTTGCAAACAGGATGCATGTTTTGGAATATTTGTATTCTGTACAGGCTTCCTTCTTTTCACTCTGTCAATTAGGTTATTATTGTGAAGTAACTACAATGTTGTTGATCCATCCTCAGTTTTCTCCTATCACAGCCATTAAACTGTAACTGTTTTCAAATCATCATTGGCCTTATGGTGAAATCACTGAGCGGTTTCCTAACTCTCTGGCAACTGAGTTAGGAAGGACTTTGTAGTGACTCAGGGTATTGATACACCATCCACAGTGTAAGTAATAACTTCACCTTGCTCAAAGGGATATTCAGTGTCTACTTTGTTCTTTTTTTTTCTCCCATCTACCAATAGATGCCCTACTTTGAGAGGCATTGGAAAACTTTACTGGTCTTTGTGGTTGAATCTGTGCTTGAAATTCACTACTCGGCTGAGGGACCTTACAGATAATTCTGTGTGAGGTACAGAGATGGGGTAGTCATTCAGATCATGTTAACCACTATTACTGAACACCGAGTGAGTCCATGCAACTTATTATGTGATATGTTAAGCAAATGTTTACTCCAGAACTTATTTATGCATGCCATAACAAAGGGGTTGAATACTTATTGACTCAAGAAATTTCAGCTTTTCATTTTTTTTATTAATTTGTAAAAATGTAAAAAAAACGAAATTCCAATTTGACATTATGAGGAATTGTGTGTAGATCTGTGACACCAAACCTAAATGTAATCAATTTTAAATTCAGGCTGTAACACAACAAAATGTAGAAAAAGTCTAGGTGTGAATACTTTCTGAAGGCACTGTACTATTACCTCTCATCTAATACCTACTTTGACCCCCACCTTCTCCAGGATTCAACCTGCCATCGGACCCCCACGGCCCCACGCTGGGCCCCGTGGCACGCTGGATCGCGGCACGTCGCGAGGAGATTGTCTCCCAGATGACGGAGGCCTGCCTGAACCAGAGTCTGGACGCCCTGCTGGCGTGCTCTCTCCTGATGCGCGAGGACTACGAGCTGGTGGTGAACCGGGCCACGCGCACTGCCAAGGTCCGCCAGCTCCTTGACACCTGCCACCGTCACAGCGAGGACTTCTGCCGTGTGGTGGTCCGCAGAATTCAGGACAACAAGCAACTGGGCCTGCAGCCATACCCCCCAGAGGTCAGCTCCCTTGTGGCCGCGCCAAACCCCAGGGCACCCCCGCTCTCGGTGTCCTACAACAACCCAAGGAATTACTAGGACTGTAAAATACTTAGCTCATTGAGCTACTGTTGGTGGTGGAAAAAGACCCTACTGTCTTTTAGTCCTGGGTCGTTTTCATTAGGCAGCAAATGGAAGAAAACCAATGGACTACCTGAACGTTTTCCTTTGCACAATTCTTTGCTACAGTGTGCCCTAATGAATACGACCCTGGGTTTTGACTGTGAACTTTGACTTTAGTGGGGAATGGTAAAGCCCAGCTGTGTCTCACATTGCTCATGATGGTACCTACTTGCCTGCCCACTCACACAGAGCAATACTGTATGTTGCTACTGTTCATCAAACTGTTGAGCGAAAGGACTTGAAGGTAAAGCTACCTTTTGAAAAACAAAACCATATCATCTTCACAAAAATTCCCTGTTCTCTAAAAAGCAGAGGATGGGTTGGGAATAACAATCAAAATCCGTTAGTATTTAATCCAGGCTTTGAATAATTTATGTTATGGATTTTATGTATTTTATTTATTTTGTCTGGTAAATAATTTGGTTCTTTCAAAACATTCCCTTTGTTCTGAGTGATTGGGCTACAGGGCCTGAGTTTGAGTTATTCTATTTGTCTTTCTGTTGTCTCCCCTCTGCACTGTTTTATCCAGATAAATATATCCAGACAGACTGTAACATCATACTCACCTATGGCTCTGGTTTTACTCTTTTTGGAGTGGACAGTTTAGACTCATCTGTAGCTCTCCAGGTCCGATAAGATACTCGACTGGAGTTCTGCCGTTTGAGGTTACTGTTGCTAGGTCTCAACTGGATCAACCCCCATTCCCTTTTGTTTGTCAAAAAATGTCACTTATATCATTGTATTTTGAGTATTTCTTTACCACTGCCTTTCCAAGACATGTTTTATTTCTCTTATAAAGACTGTGCACTTTCTGTTCATAGAAGCTTTAGTTGACATTGACATGGGATGGGCCAAAGCTGTTGAGGCCATATAATTGATATGATATGTACATCCTGTCGTGGAAATTTCAGTACTGAGAGAGACTTTGTCATTTCTTCAACAATAATCTTTATTCAATATCGATTTAATTATTGCAATAATGAGACTGGTCGACCCAACACTCTTGACTGTTGGGCCAAGAGCCTAACCTTTACAGAAAATGCTGGTTCTTATATAGCTGACACTAAAAATGCTTAGTCATGGCTGGTCCCACCCCTCCCATTCGATAGGGTGCCAGCATAAGCCACCTTGGGTTCATCCTATGGTTATCTACAGAAAAAATAAGGGTTTTGTTCTACTCCTCCAGTCTATCTTTATCTCGGTTACACCCTCCACATCTTGTCTATGGAATGCATGATGTAGATCAATTGTCAGCGCAAGATATCTCTAGTGACCATGTGCCCAGATTAGCTGCAGGGATCTAGAGTGGAGACCATAAAAACACTGCATTAGTAGAATAGAAATGTCTTACTATTTGTTAAGTATTAATATCAAACAAATCAGGTAAATACATAATATTTCTCTCACAATCCCCATACCATTTATTTAGAATGTAGTCAGTGGATTTAGGTACGGTGTATACAGTGAGGGAAAAAAGTATTTGATCCCCTGCTGATTTTGTATGTTTGCCCACTGACAAAGAAATGATCAGTCTATAATTTTAATGGTAGGTTTATTTGAACAGTGAGAGACAGAATAACAACAAAAAAATCCAGAAAAATGCATGTAAAAAATGTTATACATTGATTTGCATTTTAATGAGGGAAATAAATATTTGACCCCTCTCAATCAGAAAGATTTCTGGCTCCCAGGTGTCTTTTATACAGTTAACGAGCTGAGATTAGGAGCACACTCTTAAAGGGAGTGCTCCTAATCTCAGTTTGTTACCTGTATAAAAGACACCTGTCCACAGAAGCAATCAATCAATCAGATTCCAAACTCTCCACCATGGCCAAGACCAAAGAGCTCTCCAAGGATGTCGGGGACAAGATTGTAGACCTACACAAGGCTGGAATGGGCTACAAGACCATCGCCAAGCAGCTTGGTGAGAAGGTGACAACAGTTGGTGCGATTATTCGCAAATGGAAGAAACACAAAATAACTGTCAATCTCCCTCGGCCTGGGGCTCCATGCAAGATCTCACCTCGTGGAGTTGCAATGATCATGAGAACGGTGAGGAATCAGCCCAGAACTACACGGGAGGATCTTGTCAATGATCTCAAGGCAGCTGGGACCATAGTCACCAAGAAAACAATTGGTAACACACTACGCCGTGAAGGACTGAAATCCTGCAGCGCCCGCAAGGTCCCCCTGCTCAAGAAAGCACATATACATGCCTGTCTGAAGTTTGCCAATGAACATCTGAATGATTCAGAGGAGAACTGGGTGAAAGTGTTGTGGTCAGATGAGACCAAAATGGAGCTCTTTGGCATCAACTCAACTCGCCGTGTTTGGAGGAGGAGGAATGCTGCCTATGACCCCAAGAACACCATCCCCACCATCAAACATGGAGGTGGAAACATTAAGCTTTTGGGGTGTTTTTCTGCTAAGGGGACAGGACAACTTCACCGCATCAAAGGGACGATGGACGGGGCCATGTACCGTCAAATCTTGGGTGAGAACCTCCTTCCCTCAGCCAGGGCATTGAAAATGGGTCGTGGATGGGTATTCCAGCATGGCAATGACCCAAAACACACGGCCAAGGCAATAAAGGAGTTGCTCAAGAAGAAGCACATTAAGGTCCTGGAGTGGCCTAGCCAGTCTCCAGACCTTAATCCCATAGAAAATCTGTGGAGGGAGCTGAAGGTTCGAGTTGCCAAACGTCAGCCTCGAAACCTTAATGACTCGGAGAAGATCTGCAAAGAGGAGTGGGACAAAATCCCTCCTGAGATGTGTGCAACAAGAAACGTCTGACCTCTGTGATTGCCAACAAGGGTTTTGCCACCAAGTACTAAGTCATGTTTTGCAGAGGGGTCAAATACTTATTTCCCTCATTAAAATGCAAATCAATTTCTAACATTTTTGACATGCGTTTTTCTGGATTTTTTTGTTGTTATTCTGTCTCTCACTGTTCAAATAAACCTACCATTACAATTATAGACTGATCATTTCTTTGTCAGTGGGCAAACGTACAAAATCAGCAGGGGATCAAATACTTTTTTCCCTCACTGTAGACGTAGCTACTGTAGAGTTAATCCTTGGCCTTTCCCTTGAAACGTTTACATATGGGGACAGACAAAATGCCACTGAAAGAGGTAGCTAATGTAGATCAGAGTTTACCGGGCAATTTACAGGTAACTGCCAAAACTTTAGTCAATGAGGGAGACAAAGTATATTGAAAGCAGGTGCTTCCACACAGGTGTGGTTCCTGAGTTAATTAAGCAATTGACATCCCATCATGCTTAGGGAAATGTAAACAAATGCGCAGTTTCTCATTATTTTGGCTACCATGGCTAGAAGATGGCTCAGTGACTTTAAATGGACTACTATGGCTCAGTGGCTTTTAAAGAGGGGTCTCAAAGGAGCATAGGGGTTTTAAAGTGTATGTGTGTCAGTCACCAGATATTAACCCAATTGAATATTTATGGTAGATTCTGGAGTGGCGCCTGAGACAGTGTTTTCATCAACAATGCACCAAATAATGGAATTTCTCATGGAAGAATGGTGTCACATCCCTCTAATAGAGTTCCAGACACTTGTAGAATCTATGCCAAATCGGATTGAAGCTGATCTGGCAGCTCATGGTGGCCCAATGCCCTATTAAGACACTTTATGTTTGTGTTTCCTTTATTTTGGTAGATCTATCTGTATGTAGATCTATCTGTATGTATTTTGGTACTCTCCTTGGATCTAATGGTCTATGTTATGGGCTGTTTTTGTAGACATGTTTTTTTCTATAGAGGAGGTCTTGGCCCATAGCTTGTTACAGTATCTGTTTGCGCTACATGTTTTGGTACCAGCTAGTGAATGGATAGAGCAGGCTTGTGTCATTGAGCCAATTGCTATGCAAAATATAGTAACATTTCCTTCAACAGGAACCAACTAACCCTTAGAGCTGGGGTTGGTTATCCTGCACTTCGACAAAAACATTCAGCCTCCGATTGTGGCACTCTGTGTGAAGCTAAAGGGGAGTCAGTAAGGGCTGCCCCAGGGTTCCTGTCTGGAAGCTGCTTTCCACTGGCCTAGGGTTATTGCAGTTCAGCTGAAGTTGAGCCCAAAAAGACAATTCTCATAGATGGGTTAGCTGACAACATCACGAAAACGATGCACACGTGCAATGGGGCAGAAGTCTGTGAGTTGTTATGATTCTGGGTGGCCAGATAGCTACCAACAATGACAAGAAACTGCCATGTGGGGAATCGTAAATGACTAATTTCAGCTAGTTTAATCTTGTTCTTGATACCATGTCTTGTTTTGAGGTGTTTTGACTGATTTAATGGCAACGCTAATATGGATACAATTACCTAGCTAGCTAACCAACAACTGGAACAATGTATTTGAGACAACAAGTGCTCATTGTGCAAATGTATGTATGTTTTCAATAAACATTGCAGACTAAATATAGTTTACATGTTGTCAACAATCTAAGCCAACCACGTTTGTTTTGCCCCATATTTACGCACACATTGGTTTTGTTGCTAAACAACCAACCCGTCTATAGAAGGCCTCATAGATAAGTCAAATTTGGAAATTGCAAATAATACATCACCTTTGTACACAAAACATCCATTAAATTATTCAAGTAATTGTCTTATAGGCAGATTTTTTTTTTTTATCACTCACAGCTAAAGATATTAACTTTTTATATGAATCCACTATCTGTCACGTTTCTGGATGACGTCGTCGCTGCTTGCACTGCTCCAGTGAGCGCTGAGTGTAATTAGCTCTCTAAAACCGGATCTAGAAAGATAGCAACAACCATGAAACAGTGTATGCGAACGTGAGTAGATTACATTGAAAACAACGGTTGACCATCTTAGACGCCAGTTCATATATAGCTCAGTGGGGCTGCCCCCTGTTCACCCCCCTAAAAAGGGGGGTAGGGGGGGGATCAATCATGGCTGCCCTCTTTCCAGTGCTTTAAGCCAGGGGAGGGGAATTGTTAGAGTACGAACAGGTCACAGAGGAAGAGGTAACTGACACACACTTAAGGGAATGTGGTGTGTATATGTTTGTCTAAAATGGGCCAAAGGAAATTATATAGGAAACTTCATGAATTGCATTGTCTTCATATTTCATTCTGTGATCGTCAGTTGTCTGCACAAGACATGTCTCAAGTAGCAAAGGGAACTTCCTGGGACACATGACTGGAAATTGAAGCATACTGTAGCTTTTATACAAATGGAATATATAATGTATATACCATAACAAAGTGATTACACTGTAAAGTCACAGTCTAATGTAACTATCTGCTCTAGGTAGGCAGTAATTCTTAGCCTTGAGGCTTTAGTCGAAGGGGCCAACTACACTGAACAAAAATATAAATGCAACATGCAACAATTTCAAAGATTTTACTCAGTTACAGTTCATATAAGGAAATCAGTCAATTGAAATAAATTCATTAGCCCCTAATCTATGGATTTCACATGACTGGGAATACATAAATGCATCTATTGGTCACAGATAACTTTTTTTTAAAGTAGGATTAGAAAACCTGTCAGTATCTGGTGTGACCACCATTTGCCTCATGCAGCGCGACACATCTCCTTTGCATAGAGTTGATCAGGTTGTTGATTGTGGCCTTTGGAATGTTGTTCCACTCCTCTTCAATGGCTGTGCGAAGTTGCTGGATATAGGCTGGAACTGGAACACGCTATCATACACCTCGATCCAGAGCATCCCAAACATGCTAAATGGGTGACATGTCTGGTGAGTATGCAGGCCATGGAAGAACTGGGACATTTTCAGCTTCCAGGAATTGTGTACAGATCCTTGCGACATGGGGCTGTGCATTATCATGCTGAAACAAGAGGTGATGGCGGCAGATGAATGGCACGACAATGGGCCTGACGATCTCGTCACGGTATCTCTGTGCATTCAAATTGCCATTGATAAAATGCAATTGTGTTCATTGACTGTAGCGTATGCCTGCCCATACCATAACCCCACTGCCACCATGGGGCACTCTGTTCACAACGTTGACATCAGCAAACCGCTCGCCCACACAACGCCATACACACTGTCTGCCATCTGCCCGGTGCAGTTGAAATTGGGATTCATCCATGAAGAGCACACTTCTCCAGCGTGCCAGTGGCCATAGAAGGTGAGCATTTGCCCACTGAAGTTGGTTAGGATGCCGAACTGCAGTTAGGTCAAGACCCTGGTGAGGATGACGAGTGTTATAACTAGCTAGCTACAATGCACCCTCAATCTGAGCAGTATAGCTAGCTACAATGTACACTCAATCTGAGCACTGTAGCTAGCTAGCTACAATGTACCCTCGATCTGAGCGCTAGCTAGCTACAATGTACCTTCAATCTGAGCATTATAGCTAGCTACAATGTGAGCACTAGCTAGCTGTCTACAATGCACACTCTATTGCCTGTAGAGGCCTCAGCAGGGTCCCTGTGTCATGACTGTTATGACAGTTTCATCTGCTTCAACCTCTGCTAAGAGATACCCAGAAATGACTAAGTGCCAAAACAAAGCAATTTCCTGATAAAACTATTCCTTTACCGTGGTTACCTCACTCATTAACCTCTCTTTCTTCCTTAGTTTCTGTTTCTCTCTGTCAGTGATGTGTGCATGCATTGGCTCCATATAGGGAACTAACGCAGAGATGTGTAGTTTCTAGAGGCATTATCATCACTGCACTTCCTTATATGGGTGCTGAAGGCACTGTGGCTAAGTATAAAGACCTCGGGTCCGTGCCCCACATTTGTGACCCTCCGGAATTGAGGAGCACTGGGTGAGGTTCATCTAAGTGTTCTTACCTATTTTGTATTTGTGTGTTGTAGATTTAACAAGGCACATTGTTTGCCCCCATGACAAGGGTGCTCTTTGTAAGTTTGTTTTCAGCATTTGTTGAATTGGAACATGTGCTGTGCCAATGGTCTGTGGTGTAGGGTGGCAACTGGGGAGCCAAAGCCAGCCAGGAGAGAATCTCTTCCATAATCCTCTGCACTTTTCCTGCCATGTCGTTGATACTGTGCCTCAGATTTGTATTATTTTCCACAATTGTTTTCCAACATGATATTTGCACAAAACTCCAGATTTGATGAAATTAGATTGTAAGTCAATTTATATTCGCCTTAATATATTGTGGGGCAAAATGTTGTATAAATACAACTCTCATTAGAGATGTTTTTCACCCTTTTTTATTCCACTATTCTATTTATCTTTAGTCTAACTCTTGCATTGTTTAAAACCATTATTTGTCTGTTATGTTAGAAAAGTGTCTGAAGAAATCATTGCTTTACATGGAATTCCTTCAAGCAGCCATCAACATTGCCATATTCCTGGTCAGACTTCTGTTTTATCCATGTCTATTTATGTAGTTTTTTCACATCTACAATCAACAATCTATCAAAGATCCTGTATACATATGTATGTACACTCCCCTACATATTTATTTGGACAGTGAAGACACTTTAAATGTGGCTCTATACACATTTTGGATTTGAGATCTAATGTTTCATATGAGGCGACAGTACAGAATGTCCCATTTTATTTGAGGGTATTTTCATACATATTTGTTTTACCGTTTAGAAATGAAAGCACTTGATGTATCTAGTCCCCCCCCCCCACATTTTTTGTCTTGCCCATTCACCCTCTGAATGGCACACATACACAATCCATGTCTCAATTGTCTCAAGGCTTAAAAATCCTTCTTTAACCTGTCTCCTCCCCTTCATCTATACTGATTGAAGTGGATTTAACAAGTGACATCAACAAGGGATCATAGCTTTCACCAGGATTCACCTGGCCAGTCTATGTCATGGAGCAGGTGTCCTTAATGTTTTGTAGTGTATTAAATTAGTAAGTTATTTCAAAAGTCAACCATCCTCCAGGAGAGCTAATGGGTGTGCAGGCCTTTATTCCAGTCGCCCTCTAACAAACCACATTTTAGAAAGCTTGATGTAGTCCTTTTGTGCTTGGAATATGGGACCAAATACTAAACGTTTGACTACATTTAATACACTATAAGTGAATTTGTACAAATACTTATTAGTCTTTAAATGTGGGGGACTAGATACACAAAGTGCATATACTGTGTTTCTAAACACTAAAACAGAGTTGGAGTTATTGCAGCTAAAGGTGGCACAACCAGTTATTGAGTGTAAGGGGGCAATTACATTTTCACAGAGGGGCATTGGGTGTTTTATAACTTTGTTTATTAAATAAATGAAATAAGTATGTAATTGTTGTGTTATTTGTTCACTCAGGTTCCCTTTATCTAATAGTAGGTTTTGGTTGAAGATCTGATAACATTCAGTATCAAAAATATGCAAAAGTAGAGAACATTTGAAAGGGGACAAATACTTTTTCACTTTTTTCTTTGATTGCTTTTCCCTGATGACGATATTATGCATCCCTATTCCTTACAATGCATGATTCCTTCTATACTGGAAGACATCTTGTGATAAGGGAGATAGCAATGCTCTGGCTTCCAATAGTCCCTATTTCACGGTTTCCCAAACTCGGTCCTCGGGACCCCAAGGGGTGAACGTTTTGGTTTTTGCCCTAGCACTACAGAGTTGATTCAAATAATCAACTCATCATCAAGCTTTGATAATTTGAATCAGCTGTGTAGTGCTAGTGCAAAAACCAAAACGTGCACCCCTTTGGGTCCCGAGGACCAAGTTTGGGAAACGCTGCCCTATGTGGTCAGGTTTACAAGAAAATAGAATATCAAGTGTATCACCTTATAAGACCTTCCATAATCAGCCTGTGTTTGTCCTGTAGGCCTCATTACCCAACCATACTAATGTTCAGAGGCCATGTTTGTTTGTGACTTCTATATTGTGAAAACGAAATGGTCGGGGGCCAAACTGTAATAGATTTCATCATTCAAGTCACGGCATTGTCTTTACAGTACAGGAATGTGCAGCTACAAAGTAACTCAAGGACACTTGAGTGGGATCAATGATGGGACTTGACTCCACAATAATATCCACGTAAACATTTTGGTCTGGAACAGTTTTACTCCGCCCAGTGAACAACATCCCACGTTATCAGGTCTCCCTCAGGGCAAGAAGAGTGGGGGGGGCTGTCTTTCTGAGTACTGACATTCTCCCGAAATAGCAGGGGAACACGAGAGGGCGTCATCGCTGGGAAAACAGCCGTTGCGCTGGGATTGCAACATTGACAGTCCTGTTGCTACCTCTTAACAGTGTGAGCTCCTCCAGATATCTTTGACTCAGGAAACTCAAATTGTGGGGATATGACTGGTCGACATTTGAGCATTTACCCTTAGAAGAGGAAAATCCCTGATTCTCTGTTGTGACCCTTGTTCTCTTGTAGACAACAGGTAGGTGGTGCATTAAATATATATTTTTTACTTTATATTTTATCACTAGATCATTAGGTTTATGGATTGTTTTCTACCCGTGACTTGAACTATTTGTGTAGACGACCATGATAGAGGAGACTTACTTGTGACCAGAACATTGTGTCCATTTGTACAATTACATTTCCATTGGCATACAGTTGCATAGAATGCATAATTGACCCTGCTGAAGGACTAAGAGAGCAGGTGCTCTGGCTCTCCTTTAGAGGATATGGCAGGAGAATTGTTTCAGTTTTAGTATCAGGGAGCCCCTTAGTCCAATCCAAACTTAAAGACATACTTCATCCCAAAATCAAACAAAACTAAAGTGAAAGATTGGCACAGTTTTATTTGATTTAGTTGGTTTTGGAATTAACTGAGGGTGGGCACTGTCTAATATTTTAATCGGAATATATTCGATTAACTTGACGTTTATTCCCTTGTATTAATGTTCTCTTTACCCTCCTGTTTTCCTCAGCTCCTCAACTAGGCAGAATGAGAGAGAAGCTGGCTGCCATGTCGCGATCGCTGTGCCCCGGCTCGCAGGCCGAGTCCAACGAAGACCTAAAGACACCGAATGGCGGCGAAGAAAAGATGCAAATGAAGCGCGAGATTTCCCTCCCCAATGGCATCTGCCTCATCGTGGGCAATATGATTGGCTCTGGAATCTTTGTCTCGCCTAAAGGCGTCCTCATGCACAGCGGCTCTTACGGGCTATCGCTAGTCATCTGGGCTCTCGGCGGCATCTTTTCCGTTTTCGGAGCACTGTGCTATGCAGAGCTGGGAACCACGATCACTAAATCGGGCGCTAGTTACGCCTACATCCTGGAGTCGTTTGGCGGTTTCCTAGCTTTTATCAGGCTGTGGACGTCCATCCTGCTCATTGAGCCGGCCAGCCAGGCGGTCATCTCACTGACCTTCGCCAACTACCTAGTGGAGGCATGGTACCCCACCTGCCAGCCACCCTACGATGCCATCCGCCTCATTGCTGCCGCCTGCATCTGTAAGAGACCTGCCTCTGTTTGTTTGTTTTTACCACTAACATTAAGTTACAAATGAAGACTTTATGGGCCCGATTAAACCTAGTCCTGGACTAAAAAGCTATTTGGCCGTGTCCTGGAAACCGTCTCTTTGGGTTTTATCAATTTCTATTGGGGATGACTAGGGTCTAGCAACAATGACTATTTTAGGTAAAGACTCTCAAAACATTTCCAGAATTGTTCCTTTGAGAGGCTTCAGATAGAGGTGTGTGTATTCATGTCTGTCTAAACATGTGATTGTGAAGAATATAATTGACTTTGCTCTATTTCTGGAATGAAGGGTGTTTTGGAAAGTTATTTTTTTGTGTGTAATGGTAGGTGGCTTTACTGTAATAAGGCCATATTCAGATAAACCACTCTCTTTAGTCACGCAAACACATCCTCAACTCAATGCCCAGTCAGAGCATTAAAATAGCCCTGCACCCACTTTGCTTTGTGTGGCTCTTGGCCGTCTGAAATTGGCACACTGAGCTGGTATTTAGGTTAGAGAGCAGCAATGCCATCAGTCAGCCACACTGTCCAGACTAGAGTTTCCCTCAGCCCAGAGACATCTGCCACTAATGCAAGAGAGGCTGACAGCCAGCATGAATGAGCTGCGATCTGGGTCTGTGGATCATTAACCTAGTAACTACAGTGCTAGGTTAGGCCCAGTGCAGTAGCTCATATAATGGTTATTAGTAGGGCACTGAGTTTCTCCTGGTCAGGACACATAATTAGGAAAACTCTGGGCCCTAGATTGGTTTGACTAAAGTTTGGTTTCTCCTCGCATGCACACGCACACACACACACACACACACGCTTCACTCATCATTATGGAGCGAGAGAGATAGACACACACATGCCATTATTTTGTATCCGCTAGTAGTTTACCATCTGTTCCATCTGTTTCATAGCAGTGAAGGGATGTGAAACGCTTGCCTTTCCATCTGCTTCAGTTACCGTTGGTTACAGAAGATATACTGTGTGTGTTCTTGTCTCAGTTACACAAACAGTACAGATTATACTGTGACAGAGAAACTATTTTGGGATTTGGAAGGGGTAACTCAGGACCACACTGATATTACAAAAACACAAAGTTCTACTATTCCTCTGCTTTGTCCTTTTCTCCTCTACTTTGCATCTGTTTGCTAACGCATATAATCTCTCTCACTCTCTCCTCCCTCTCTCCCTCTCTCCGCCAGGCATGCTTATCTTTGTAAACTGTGCCTATGTGAAGTGGGGCACCATGGTCCAGGATCTGTTCACCTACGCCAAGCTCATGTCACTAATCCTCATCATCATTATAGGTATCATGAAGATAGCCAAAGGTACGAGAGATTGTGATGTGGAGGGGATATGGGCGGAAGATTTAAAAGGATAGTTCCCTTTTTATTTTTTGCTTATTGTAGACTTCCTCCATGCTGTTTTTAAAATTGTTAGCTAGCTTGTTATTTAGCAACGTCCACAAGAATCTGGCTAACATTTTGGGGAAATGTAGCACTGCTAGCGGAATGGCTGCTTCCGTTAGCAGCCATTTTAAAGGATGGGGAAAGTGAGGGAGGGCGTCCCTTTTTGTGGAAGGGAGAGCCCTTTTCCCATGCTTTTGAATGCATTGCTAACGGAAACAATCCCTTTTCACTAGCACTGCTACATTCTTGAAACGATACCTTAGGGAATTCGACGACAAGATTATTAACATCCCTTAAAAGGGGAAATCTGCAGTACAAACAATAACAAAGCAATTTACCCAGCCACAGTTTTGGTAAAAACTGAGGGATGAGGCTGGAGAAATGTAACCCCTCTCAAATTCATAGACAAAGCTATGGTTACAAGGACTGACTATGCATGATATCAAAAGTATACTTTTGAGGCTATTTAGTGTTTGTTTACAATTATATTATTTACAAACAATATAGTAAAATATGCTTATATTTGGGGTTCTGAGGGGGTACAACAGTTGAACTAAGCTCATGAGGCATTTAGAAGATACTGTATATAAGGAATCACTGGGTATACTGTATATAATAAATACAAAAAAATGCTAAATATTATGCCCCAATCGCAGATGGCCCCTTTGAATGTTCAGAGTGACAAGGAAAAAATATAAAGATATGTAATAGAAGGGATTAATGTTACCTTTCTCTTTCTCTCCATCTCTCCCTCCTGCCTGTAGGAGAAACCCAGAACTTTCAGAATCCGTTTGAGGGTTCCTCCATGGAGCCTGGGCCTATAGCTCTGGCCCTCTACTCAGCTCTGTTCTCCTATTCTGGCTGGGACACACTCAACTTTGTCACAGAGGAGATCCAAAACCCAGAGAGGTAATCTCCCTGTTTTCACATTCTTTTATAAGGGGCCATACATTCTCATGACAAGTCTTACAAGGCATTAGAAATGCATGCTTTTGTTGGTTTTTTAGTTGATCGGATCTGTCTTAGCCCAGAGAGTGGTAGACTTGTTAGCAGGCTTTTATACACACAACAAAGGATCTATCTCCTCTCTTACACTCTCATAGCCTTCGCCCATTATAAACTCAAACATATTTCAGACTGTACTGTATCACTGTACTCATGCCTGATTTAAATCGAGTCCAGCCCATATTCAAAGTAGCTGCGTCAGTAGTGTCATCCCCAATCAGCCACGCCCCCTTCACCCAACACGTTCTGCCTTTTAGAGCAAAGACAACATCACTATTCATGATTGGACTGTATATTTGGATGGTGGTACAATGATTACGCACTAGGGGTAAAATGGGAGCCAAGCTCAAGGCCTAATTTGGCATGGTGTTGAAGAAAGGACAAGGTTGCCTCTTGAATAGAGACACATGTTAAAGAGCATTGGGTTTATTTATAGATGGGTCTATTGTACAAGAGTCCGAAAAATGTTGTTCAGGGAACCTTTATAATGATAATGGATAATAAACATTTGTGTGTTTACGAAGTAATGTAAATGGCCTCATCCACTATCATAGATTTGTTTTCGCTGACCTATTGACCGCTTTGATTTCTCTGTTGCTATAGGAACCTGCCTCTGGCCATTGCTATCTCCATGCCTATAGTGACCATCATCTACCTTCTGACCAATGTGGCCTACTACGTGGCTCTGGACATGCCCTCTCTACTAGCCAGTGACGCTGTCGCCGTGGTGAGACCCCTGACGCCACATGCTAAAAATAGTGCCAAATATGTGGCTGTTAAGATCATGTGACATGTCTTTCAGCATCTGTGTTCTGCGTTGTTAGACAGTACTATAGGACAATATATCAGATAAACTGAGATGACCCTTTTATTAATTTCAGGAAATGTACACTACCAGTCAAAAGTTTGGACACACCTACTCATTCAAGGGTTTTTCTTTATTTTTACTATTTTCTACATTGTAGAATAATAGTGAAGACAACAAAACTATGAAATAACACATATGGAATCATGTAGTAACCAAAAAAGTATTTTATATTTGAGATTCTTCAAATAGCCACCCTTTGCCTTGATGACAGCTTTGCACACTCTTGGCATTCTCTCAACCAGCTTCATGAGGTAGTCACCTGGAATCCATTTCAATTAACAGGTGTGCCTTTTTAAAAGTTAATTTGTGGAATTTATTTCCTTCTTAATGTGTTTGAGCCAATCAGTTGTGTTGTGACAAGGTAGGGGGGGTATACAGAAGATAGCCCTACTTGGTAAAAGACCAAGTAATATTATGTCAAGAACAGCTCAAATAAGCAAAGAGAAACGACAGTCCATCATTACTTGAAGACATGAAGGTCAGTCAATATGGAACATTTCAATAACTTTTAAAGTTTCTTGAAGTGCAGTCGCAAAAACCATCAAGCGCTATGATGAAACTGGCTCTCATGAGGACCGCCACAGGAATGGAAGACCCAGAGTTACCTCTGCTGCAGAGGATAAATTCATTAGAGTTACCAGCCTCAGAAATTGCAGCCCAAATAAATGCTTCACAGAGTTCAAGTAACGTACACATCTCAACATCAACTGTTCAGAGGGGACTGTGTGAATCAGCCTTCATGGTCGAATTGCTGCACTACTAAAGGACACCAATAAGAAGAAGAGACCTGATTGGGACAAGAAACGAGCGATGGACATTAGACCAGTGGAAATCTGTCCTTTGGTCTGGAGTCCAAATTGGAGATTTTTGGTTCCAACCGCCGTGTCTTTGTGAGATGCAGTGTGGGTGAATGGATGATCTCCGCATGTGTAGTTCCCACCGTAAAGCATGGAGGAGGTGTTATGCTGTGAGGGTGCTTTGCTGGTGATACTGTCTGTGATTTATTTAGAAATGAAGGCACACTTAACCAGCATGGCTACCACAGCATTCTGCAGCGATACGCCATCCCATCTGGTTTGGGCTTAGTGGGACTGTCATTTGTTTTTCAACAGGACAATGACCCAACACACCTCCAGGTCGGTATAATGGCTATTTTACCAAGAAGGAGAGTGATGGAGTGCTGCATCAGATGACCTGGCCTCCACAATCCCACGACCTCAACCCAATTGAGATGGTTTGGGATGAGTCGGATGGCAGAGTGAAGGAAAAGCAGCCATCAAGTGCTAAGCATGTGGGAACTCCTTCAAGACTGTTGGAAAATCATTCCAGCTGAAGCTGGTTGAGAGAATGCCAAGAGTGTGCAAAGCTGTAATAAAGAAAAACCCTTGAATGAGTAGGTGTGTCCAAACTTTTGACTGGTAATGTAGTTATTTTACTAGAAGACATGTTGCTGCATGCAACATAAGTGATAGTATTCTGAATTCTACGGTGTATTTTAAATATAATAATTATATACCTTTGATAATATTACTGAACACAAATATAAATGCAACATGCAACAAGATTTTACTGAGTTACAGTTCATATAAGGAAATTAGTCAATTGAAATAAATTCATAAGGCCCTAATCTATTGATTTCACATGACTGGGAATACAGATATGCATCTGTTGGTCACAGATACCTTTAAAAAAAATGGACCTCACAATGGGCCTCAGGATCTCCTCACGGTATCTCTGTGCATTCAAATTGCCATTGATTAAATGCAATTGTGTTCATTGTCCGTAGCTTATGCCTGCCCATACCATAACCCCACCCACCATGGGGCACTCTGTTCACAACGTTGACATCAGCAAATCACTCGCCCACACGACGCCATACACGTGGCCTGCGGTTTTGAGGCCAGTTGAACGTACTGCTAAATTCTCTAAAACGAGAGGTCTGCTGAGCTCAAACTTGAACGTTGTGAAAATTCTGTGCAACCTCCAGCGTGCGTTTACTGTGAACACTGAGGCTGTACCCGCTTTAGGTTACAGTTAAAGACAGTGGTCAAGTAGGCTACTGTGGAGATCATAATGTAGGCCTACCATCAAAAAACAATGGAGAAAATGCTTCCCATAACATTTTAACATGGAAATAGCTATTTTATCATTCAGCCTACAGTAGCAGCCAATGAGTGATGTTCAATGTAGGACTACATTCCATGACGCTTTTGAAAAAAACATGCAGGGCTTAACATTAACCTGTTTATCCACTTGTCCTTCAGACAAGGAGGTGACTGAAAATGTTGTGTTGTTTGATGCAAGAAACCACTTTACAAAATAAAATGTTATTCCCATACCATTATTACAGAGAATCAGATAAATTATGCTACCCTCTGCTTATTGGCTACTTAGCTTATTCAAGCCTGTCTCAAAATACAACACTGCCCTTTAAGACAAAAAAAAGCTATATATCCGACTGGCTTTTCAAAGAAGCAATCATTCCCCCATTGCTGACTACAAATGATCTACAACTGGGCTAATAACTCACTAACTAGCAAAGGATATGAACAAGTGCACATGTGGGCACATGCAACTCTCACTTTGATCTCAAAACAAGCGCATCTACTCACGACCGCACAGATCCGTTATGGCAATGGTCTATTTGCATATAGGCCTACTGCAGCTCTGATTGGTTATGCCGCTCCGGTCTGTGTAGATGACGGGCGGAGTCATGCGTGTCAATGCAATAGAATCCTACTCCGATGCATTCTGCCTACAACAAAATCTCTTGCATAGTTAGTTTTGCATAGTAAGTCTTGCATAGCTAGTTTTGTTTCGGTAAGTTGCATACAAAGTGGCTAATATTGCGTTGTTTCGATCACAATTCCCACAGTAAAGGGAAACGTTGATAGTGTTAACTAAGGGTGGAAAATCTAGAAAGTTGAGTGAAGTTCAATCTCGTGCTTCTCTGTGCGGGCTGATATTTCTTCTGCGCGGTAGTCCCGGGGAGCTGCACGCCGGCTTTCAGCTTAGAGGGAACATTGGTTTGATGTGGCTTATGGTAGAGAAATTAACATTAAATTATCTGGCAACAGCTCTGGTGGACATTCCTGCATTCACCATGCCAATTGCACGTTCCCTCAAAACTTAAATTATCTGGCAACAGCTCTGGTGGACATTCCTGCAGTCACCATGCCAATTGCACGCTCCCTCAAAACTTGAGACATCTGCAGCATTGTGTTGTGTGACAAAACTGCACATTTTAGAGTGGCCTTTTATTGTCCCCAGCACAAAGTGCACCTGTTTAATGATCATGCTGTTTAATCAGCTTCTTAATATGCCACACCTGTCAGGTGGATGGATTATCTTGGCAAAGGAGAAATGCTCACTAACAGGGATGTGAACAAATTTGTGCACACAATTTGAGAGAAATAAGCTTTTTGTGCGTCTGGCCCCGTGTAGCTCAGTTGGTAGAGCATGGCGCTTGCAATGCCAGGGTTGTGGGTTCGATTCCCACGGGGGGCCAGTATGAAAATGTATGCACTCACTAACTGTAAGTCGCTCTGGATAAGATCGTCTGCTAAATGACTGAAATGTAAATTTCTGGGATCTTTTATTTCAGCTCATGAAACATGGGACCAACACTTTATATGTTGCGTTTATATTTTTTGTTCTGTGTATTTTACTCAACCCATTTCGTCTAATCCCACAGACTTTTGGAAATGCGGTCCTGGGACCGTTCAAGTGGATCATTCCCATTTCCGTGGCCATGTCCTGCTACGGAGGACTCAACGCCTCCATCATCGCTGCCTCCAGGTACTGACCACATTTAAAGAGAGAGTTCACTTTTTTGAAGCTTTAGCTTTTTTTAAAATTGATCTAAGGTGTTGTTGTTTCATCAAAATATATTTTAAAGTTTGTTAGATGGTTATTTAGCAACCAACGTCAACAATCACCCGGCTAGCATAATTGGAGCATGTAGCATGCTAGTGAAAATGTATTGAACTAGTTAGTGGTCATGGAAAGCCAGAGCTTTATCCCTTCAGTGACTGGCAATGGACGTTATCTGAGATATTTGAATGTCCTACAATCAACTTGTGGTTAGATCACTTCAGATATTAAAATCAAGTTTTAGGTCTGAAGCGCTGAAACCATTTCCTTGCGGCTGCTGTATGCCCTGTCCAGGTTGTTTTTCGTGGGGGCGAGAGAGGGACACCTTCCAAACAGTCTGAGTATGATCCAGGCGGAGCGCTACACACCTGTGCCCGCCCTCATATTCAACGTGAGTGACATCACATCTCAGAGCATAATGCTCTCTTTTGATATCGACTGTATAGTATATCTCTTAGGTCACAAGTGCGTGCCATGGCAACCCAAAAGGAATCTATGATCTATCTTTAAAAGTCTATGGCGCATTCAGATCAGACCCACAGTAGAACGTCACTGATCCCTGGGTTGTGTGTTCTTGCAGGGGTTGATGGGCTTGATCTTCCTGTGTGTGGAGGACGTGTTCCAGCTCATCAACTACTTCAGCTTCAGCTACTGGCTCTACGTGGGCCTGTCTGTGGCCGGCCTCATCTATCTGCGCTTCACTCAGCCAGACAGACACAGACCCGTTAAGGTAATGTTAACAAGATTGGTGTCTGAGTTTGTGTGTTTGATTGACTTGTCTCTCTCTCTTTTTATTTCTGTCTCACACACATACAGATGAGAGAGGGATGCCAATGGATGAGTAAACTTGCATCTGCATAGTTGTGTATAATCACCATAGTTTGACCTGCTGTATCCTGGCTAACCATTGGCTCCTCTCCACAGCTCTCCCTGTTCTTTCCCTTCGTTTACTGCCTGTGCAGTCTGTTCCTGGTCATCGTCCCTCTATACGGAGACACCATTAACTCCCTCATAGGGATCGGCATCGCCCTGTCTGGAGTGCCTGTCTACTACGTGGCCATATACCTGCCTGAAGACAGGAGGCCCAAGTTTATAGGCAGACTAAATGGTAAGGATCAGAGCTAGAGACACACAGACACAGGGCTGGTTTCCCGGAGCCATTTTAACACTACTTCTGGACTTGAAAGCATGCTAAATGGAATTATTTTTTTGAAAGTGCTTTTTAGTCCAGGAGTTTGTCAAACCGTCCCCAATTTTTGCAGAACATTACTGTAACATATTCATATGCATTATAGCTAGAAAGTAACTGTCTTGGAAGTTTTGTGATTTTCAATTCTAATTCTGCCATTTCATGTATGAAGAAATATGATTTCAATGTGTGTAGCAGACTGGTGTGTCCACACATTTTCATGTGTTGAGGATTCATATGTTTAAGAGTGAAAAGTGTGACCGAAAAATCTAAAGATGTGGTATCTTTTTAGAAGCATGTTAGTAAAAGGTGCTAAGGTGGAAGTCTGTAGGAACGCCTGAGTTTATTGGGTGGTTGATAAACAAAAGTGCCACTGTAGGCAAGAGACAGTTAGATATACACTGAGTGTACAAAACATTAGGAACACCTTCCTAATATTGAGTTGCACCCCATTTTCCCCTCAGAACATCCTCAATTCGCCAGGGCATGGACTCTACAAGGTGTCGAAAGCGTTCCACAGGGATGCTGGCACATGTTGAGTCCAATGCTTCCCACAGTTGTGTCAAGTTTGCTGGATGTCCTTTGGGTGGTGGACCATTCTTGATGCACACGGGAAACTGTTGAGCATGAAAAACCCAGCAGCGTTTCAGTTCTTGACACACTCAAACCGGTGCACCTGGCACCTAATACCATACCCTGTAAGGGTTGGTGTGAGGTGTGACCCAGGTACGGTACAGGATAGACAGTAGGCAAGGATGGTGAAACAAGGATCTTTACTGGTGGTCCAAAAGCCAGGATACAAAATAATGGACTATTCACAAAAACAAATGAGGAGCACATAGGTCTCCAAACAACAGACTGACAACAAACAATACAAAATACTAACTCTGACTGGAAAAACACAATGACACAGGGAGAACACTTCTCGAGTACCTGTAACTCCGTCACGTGATCCAACACTGAGACGTACTGCTTGACATCAAGGAACTAGCAGAGACAACTGAGCAAGGGAACACAGGGAAGTGAGGGCATAAATACACAGGTGAATCAGATAGCCACAGGTGACACCAATAGGCAGATAATTAGTCCCAACTGTGAGTGAGGAGGTGCCTATGGTTGTCGGAGGATGACCCCTAGTGGGTCGCTCCGGAACTGCGACCCACTCCTGTAGCAATACCCCGTTCAAAGTCACTTATATATTTTGTCTTGCCCATTCACCCTCTGAATGGCACACATACACAATACATGTCTCAATTGTCTCAAGGCTTGAAAATCCTTATTTAACCTGTCTCCTCCCCTTCATCTACACTGATTGAAGTGGATTTAATAGGTGACATCAATAAGGGATCATAGCTTACACCTGGATTCACCTGGTCATTCTATGTCATGGAAAGAGCAGGTGTCCTTAATGTTTTGTACACTCAGTGTATTTACTATTCACGGTGACGGAAAGGATAAATTACTCCTTTTGGGGTTTTAAGAAGGTTATCGTCACTGTAGCAACCACAGTTATGTCTGTTGTTACAAATTGATTGTTGTGCATCCTATCCATGTTGACCTCTGAACAACAAGTCCTCAGTGAGTGTAATTTGATTAGACTGTTTTTAGACTCAGTGGTTTGTTTTTGGCTGTGGATCTGGGGACTAGGAGTATATCATAAAATGTGGTTCAGTGATGTGCCATGTTTGTCAGTCCACAATGTCACACTCTGTCCCTGAGCTGTGCTTATCAAGCCCCAATGTGACTTAGTCTGGTGTATCACATTAAAGAAACCACATATATCAAAATGTATTTTGGCTTTCCCAACATAAACTCTGACTGACCTCTTGTTTACATCTCTCGCTCTCTCTCTCTATCTGTCTCTCTCCCCCCTCCCTTTTCTTGCCAGCTTGGGTCACCAAATACACCCAGATCATGTTGTACTGCTGTCTGACTGAACTTGATGTGGAGCCAGAGAAGCTAGCAGACAGCAAAACTCAGTGAGGAGGCCTGGTGGCCCCCCACTCCTCCATGCCACGCATGATGCACATGCCTGGAACACGAAACCTGACTGAACCGTGCGTGGACAAAGGCTGCACTGAAGGGTTGGCTGGAGGGGGCTCGATGCTTGTACCACATTGCATTCTCAAAGGCTTTCCATGTCTTGAGGACAAAAGAGGAGCTGGTACTTGATCATGTGCGAAGAAACTGATAACTGTGGGATTATTCAATTTTTTTTGTAAACATATTATATTTTCCTATAAGAGTATGACTGCTCATTATGTAATATGCTCATTGTAATATAATGTAATGTCCTTACCCATGTTCTTCTTCAAGTGTTTATACCTTAATGTTCCTCTAAGAGGTTTACCTGGTTATTTCTATGGATAGCACTTACAGTACATGTCCTACAGATCTGACAGTCAACAGTCCTTGGCTTGTGTCTTTTTCTGCTGAGTCACTGAGTCACTTTATGCTGAGTCACTAAGTGGGGGTCTAACAATGTTATGACTTACAAAACATGGCCGAATGGACCAATCGGTATGCTGTAAATTACATACAGTAGCACTAATCACATAACACATGCATTAATTACAATATGAGCTCTCAAACAGGGATTTGGTTATTAATGTGTTTTGTTTTTAATTGCTCAATGATTATATTTTAATGTGCTACTACCTAAAACTTTTGTAGCCTACCATTTTATTTAGCTAGGCTTGGGCCCAATGCAACCCATTTTTATCTAATTTCAAATAATTTCTGGGTAACAATTAAGTACCTTACTGTGACTGTTTTCAATCAAAATTGACAAAAAGAAACAAAAATAGCTTCTTAGCAAAGAGCAATTTCTCAAGCAAGAATTTTGCTAGGACTGTCTGGGAGTGGTCTGAGTGGGGAGGGGAAAACTGAAAACTAGCTTTTATTGACAGAGAGGTTTGGAACTCTCTTTCTTATTGGTCTATTAACCAATTTACCACCTGGTGATGTCACCAGGCAGACCAAAACGCCATCCCACCAAATCAGGCTGACATTTCAGGCAGTCTTTTTAAACAACTCTTACACTAAAATGGCATTATCATCATTTTCACTATTTCACAGTATTATTCCAACTACAGACGTATCTATAAAACACAGGAAAATCACGTTTTTGATAACACTGGGCCTTTAAAGCTCTGAGTGACTCAGGGTCAATAGCACTGTCATATCACTTTTATAGTGGCCTGAATCGTGCTATGTTTGATGTTTTCTTTAAGCTAGAGACTTAAAATAGTCATCAGGGCTATTTGCAAAGTATAATTTTCAAATCTCTGGTAAGAGGTTGATACCAAGTCTGTACTTTCGGATGTTAGGCAATCTGGCACATGTGGACCACTGTCACAAAACTTGTTCCTCTCTGTTTCCTCAGCCCACCTACTTCTCTCCCTTTACCTCCCTATCACTCTCTCCTTTACTCCTTTTCTGTTCCCCTTGATCATTGTTTTCTCTGTCTCTTTCTTCCTCGCTCTTGGGAGATGTTACAACACTTGATTAGGTTGTAGTTATGGCTTTTGACATTTTGATAAAGATTTGATTGATCCTTACCCAAAAGGTGTTTCTTTCTTGTTCCACTTTACGGTCTTGGGCATATTAGTTAAAGTTGTGATTAGTCAAATCAGGTGTTGTTTTCTTGTTACCATAATTTTCTAGTATGAATTAAATATTGAATATCTATTTTCATATCCCCCATACCTCTAATGCCTTTTCATTTCCAGTGCTCATGTCATGTCAAGAGTTGACCTGCTTTTAAACTGTTGTCTAATCAAAACATCTAATTATAGCATTTCACATCTTTAAATAATATGGTAGCTTCACTCCAAATCCAAATCCTGAAAGGCATCATCCTCACACAGTGCAACTGGCACCTATTGGGTTTGTTCCATTCAAACGTATTGGTTGCTGACATTGAAAACACACAAAACATGATTCACTGCTCTGCTGCTGTTTCCGTCCTATATTCTGTAGCTTCAATCTCCTCAACACTCAAAACTCTTATATGTGACTGTACATCTCTAGATAGTATTGTTGGACATCAAGGATGGGGATTCGTTTTTTCCCTTTGATCAGTTTAATGATGTGACCATTTCTGTGCTAAATGGTACTTTACATAAACTTGATCATGAGCACTGTATTCCTGATTCTTGTCCAGTCTTACTGTCGCCTACTCTCTGGCAGAGTATGTGAGCGGAGCAGAGTGAGGAGTGGAGTGTTTAGCATCCCTTGCGGCTCTGCAAGCGCTGAGGGTATTATCCGCTGCTGGCCTGCTCTCCAGGCACCATGCATGAGACTGAAGCCACAGACTCTGGCCAAATTCATGTTTCTAAAAATGAATCCAAAGCCTAATAAGGCATTTTTCGTTTAATTTGTATTTAATTCTTAGTAAGATACAGCCTATATGTGCAATTTATAGACTATAATGATGTAATACAACTAAATGTTGTTTAAATGCTGAGCGCTTAATGTCCCTACCAGCCTAGAGTGTCGCACTTGCAAATGCTTCACAATATATATATATATATAATTTTTATTTTTTTTATTTTTTTGGGGGTGTAGATCAGCTTAATATTGCAGATAGATTGTAACTTCCATCAATGTAATTGTCTGCATCACTTCCAATCCCCCCATGTTTATATATATATATATACATATATACATAGATACATACACACATACACACATACACACACACACATACATACCCACATACATACATACATACATACATACATACATACATACACATACATACATACATACATACATACATACATACATACATACATACATACATACATACATACATACATACACATACATACATACATACATACATACATACATACATACATACATACATACATACATACATACATACATACATACATACATACATACACATACATATCCTTTAAAAATATATATAAATATTCCCCTTTATTGCTTTACAACCCCGCCACCCTTTCCCTACTTGGAGTAAACTAGTGAACGACAATGCTTAGGCCTCTACTTCCAGCTTATACTTACTATCTTCATTTTATGGACACAGTCAATTTTACAATAATTACATTTTGTTTGTTATTTCTCCTGAACTTCTTCTACTCTCAACCTCTCCGATCATTTTCATGATGTCTATCCGGTTTGCTTCTATATGCCATACCTTTTTAACTGTGCTCCTTCACAAAAGCTCCCAACCTACAACCTATACACTTATTATGGACACAGCGTGCCTACATTATTAGTTATCTTGTTATTGTTTGTTGTTAGTTGTTATTAGTCCCATCCTTCAATTCCATTCAACACCTCCCATCTATCTTTTAACACCATCCATATAGGATTTCTATTTGCCATATATATTTAAACTGTACTGTGATGTCTTACAAAAGTTCTGAACCTTTCTATTCTCATTGTAGAAACAGATTGTGAATTGAAAATAAACATTTTTGCTAATAGTATTATAATGTTATTGATCGATTGACTATGACTTTTCAGATCACCCAGTAGTGCTATCTGCAGGGTTAGCTCCAGGTAAATATTGCAATCATTTAGCCATTCCTGGACCTGTGTCCAAAAACAAGCTACAAATGGACAGTACCAAAATAAATGATCTAATGATTCTGTCTCTTCGCAGCAAAATCTGCAGAGCTGGGAAGATTGTATCCCCCATATAAATAACATTCTATTGGTAGCAAGAATTTTATATAATAATTTAAATTGAAAGATTCTAAGTTTTGAATCCGGTGTCGTTTTGCGTATCAGATCATAAACACTATTACATGGGACCAGTACGTCAAAAATCTCTTCCCAACTATTTTGCAATCTATCCTTTGGTCCTTAAAATAAACTGATATACTTTTTTATTTATCACAGTGTTCCTTAACCAATTATGTTCTTTAATGCAAGGCCGACAGACAAGTTCCTTACTTTCTCCCCCTTCTACTTTCCTCTTCCATTTTTGCGGTAAGGCTGCAATTATTTGGTTGTAATTTTGGGTAGAGCAGACATTTACATATGTTTTTGTTAGCTGCATGTGCGACACAACTCCACCAGTCCTACCGATGATATCATTTACAAAGATTATACCTTTTTTAAACATTTGGTCCAAAAAAAAATGTTTGGTCCATTAGTATATTTGAGTTTAACCACAATATTTGTTGCATTATTTGTTCTGTCGTTTCTGGAGGATTAAATTGAAATTGCAACCAACTTTCTATGGCTTGTTTTAGAAATAGTGATATCTGGGAGATGATTTCCTTTTCAAATAACTGAAAGTGAGTGGTTGTAATTTGAATAAAGGGAAAAGGGCCATTCTTGAACATTGGGTGAGACAATCTTACTAATTTGGTAGAGAACCAGTTCGGATTTAAGTATAACTTTTGTATGACTGAAGCTTTTAGTGATAGGTCTAATGCTTTAATATTTAATAATTTCTGTCCTCCGAATTCATATTCATTATATAAATAGGCCCGTTTAATTTTGTCTGGCTTGCCGTTCCAAATAAAATGGAATCTTTTTTTCTCATATAATTTAAAAAACTGTTCACTAGGCGTAGGCAAGACCATAAGCAAATAGGTAAACTGGGATAATACTAAAGAGTTAATCAGGGTGATTTTTCCACAAATTGACAGGTAATTACCTTTCCATGGTAGCAAGATCTTATCTATTTTTGCTAACTTTCTATTATAATTTATTTAAGTGAGATCATTTATTTCCTTTGGGATATGTATTCCGAGTATATCCACATCACCATCAGACCATTTTATTGGTAAACTACATGGTCATGTAAATATTGTATTTTTTATTGATCCAATACGTAATATAGTACATTTGTCATAATTTGGTTGTAATCCAGGGGGTTAGAAAATGTATCTAGATCCTGTATGAGGCTGTGGAGTGATTCTAGTTGTGGATTTAAAAGAAAACATGAATCATCAGCGTACAATGACACCTTTGTTTTTAAGCCCTGGATTTCTAATCCCCTGATATTATTGTTGGATCTGATTTTAATAGCTAACATCTCGATGGCCATAATAAATAGATATGCCGATAGTGGACAACCTTGTTTCACTCCTCTTGACAGTTTAAAACTTTCTGAGAAATAGCCATTATTTACTATTTTACACCTAGGGTTACTATACATGATTTTGACCCATTTTCGAAGTCTGCTATGAATAGCAGGCCTGGTTTCTCCGATTTTCCATAATGTTATATTGTTTCCAATACTTGCCTTATATTATCTCCAATGTATCTTCCATGTAAAAAACCTGTCTGATTAGAATGAATAATATCCGACAATACCTTTTTAATTCTATGCGCTATACATTTTGCTAGAATTTTTGCATCACAACACTGAAGTGTAAGGGGCCTCCAATTTTTTAAATGGACTGGATCTTTATATTTTCCACTTGTATCCTGTTTCAGTAATAATGAGATCAGACCTTCTTCTTGAGTGTCAGATAATCTACCATTTACATAGGAGTGGTTAAAACATGCTAATAATGGTCCTCTTAGTATATCAAAAAAGGTTTGGTATACATCGACTGGTATGCCATCCAACCCTGGAGTTTTCCCGGGCTTAAAGTCTTTAATTCCATCCAGAAGTTCCTCCTCTGTAATTTCACCTTTACATGAGTCTTTCTGTATGGCTGTTCATTTTACATTATCAATAGAAAAAAACTCTCTACAATTAGCTTCAGTTAGAGGAGAAGGAGGCGACTGAAACGAAAACATATGCTTAAA